GTCATGAATCTGGAACAATGCCACAATAACAATGGTTGTTATGGAATAATTATGATCATAATCAGTTGAAAAACGTCTCGACTTAATATGGGAACAATAAAAAACAGTGTGTTTTCTAATGCAGACGATTGTTTCGATACATCCTAAGAAGGATTTGAGTAAAGACTATCAGACGTTTTGATGTCTTGATCTGTATCGGAATTAATATGTATATATCTACAAGAATATATTTGTACAACACATACAATACAAATCAAGCACATTTTGAGTAATTATTCGAAAAAGTCGACATCATCGTAGATTTCTGTATGAATACGCAGAAGATAATTGGGAATATATTTCATATTCAGAGTATAATTTTACTATCTAAATAATAGCTTCTTAACGTTATCTTAATAAAAAATATTACTTCCAAATATATGAACTGATTTTGTAGTTTGAAATTTAATACAAGAGTACCATTCAATGTAACGGACTTACATAAACACTAAGTAAAAAGCTGAAATACAGTACAACAGAATATAACCAAAATAACTTCTAGCATCATAAAAAGGCAAGAAATGGTTTCAGCAATATACTGTATAAAATAGCCATTTCGCTTTATTTACTTCCTTTCGCTTATTCCATGAAATAAATTATCAATTATTACACTCACACCCATTTGCAAATGGAAACAAGACTATTACTATAGATGGGTAATGAAGAAGCTCCGGCTTTGATAACATCATAAAGATTATTGTTTCAAAATCAAACAAAATTAATGTCTTTGCCATTTTTTACTGGTTATACATCTGGAAATGAGCAAACTAAGTCATGATAAATAAATAACAACATTTTCCTTATTCAATATTATTTTACTCAATTATCAGAAAACAGATATGAAAAATGTGACGATCATTTATTAAAACGATATTACTTTTGAATGTAAGAAACGTAAGGCCCATTAATCACCTATGTTTTAGCTATAGTTAAATCATATGTTTAAAGCATTACCCGAGAATTGATTTAAATTAATATTAAGTTGGCTGATAATCAATAACTGATTGATAAGTTTGTTATTATGTTATTCAATAAAAGCACAATGTTAATACCTGTTTTTGTTCCATTAATTTATTTACACTTAACCTTGCTATTCCAAAAAACGATGAGCCTTTGCTGGGACTACACTGGTGGAATTGACTTTTTTATCTTGAAATCACCAACACTGATTATGAGCAGTAGAAAAAATGGCAAGTTTAAGAATAAATTCAGCTGCTTTTAGTAAACTTGTTTCTGAACAAATATAACACTTAATTGTCAATGTTGCCAATATTCTAGCAATAAATTTAATGAACACCGACAAGGATTGCCAATAAAAGTGTCATCATTAAAGTTCAAAATAGTCTATAGCATTTTAAATTACACTAGCATGTAATGAAATAGTGATTTCAAATATAGTGGTTTAGCATACCCGTAACACATATTTTAAGGATGACCAATTCCTCTTAGAACAGTTACAGTTGATAGGATGTAAATAATGACCTAACCTCATCTTTAACAAGATTGTACATAAGTATACAGAATGAAATATATATGTTAGTTGATAACGGAAAACCTCGTTTTATTATGTAATATATCCATTTCAAATGGGAAACATTTCCCAATAGGTGTTTGAGAGTATCGAAATGGAAACCGCATTAATTCATGTTTACAGCTATAAACTTAGTATATTGATACTTACAAATTAGTTTTAAATTTTACGAAAAGATTGTTTAAATATCTTTAAATATCCAGATAGTGTTTCTACTAAAATACCCGCGTGCAACTGAAAGACTGCACAGTAGGGCACTTGGCCTTTTCCTCCTTCAGTTATGCAGGGAAGTCACCGTATGAGCTATGCAGTGTCGGTAAAGTACATTTTGGTATTTTTATGAGTTATTTTTAGAATTTAATTAAAAATAAAAAACGTAGTTTTTCAGACAATGTCTATATTTTAAAGAATACATTCGAGTAAATAGGTATTTCCTACGATACAAGAAAGTGCAGGCTTGACAATAATGTATAATTGAAAATGTCTGTTACTAAACTGACTGCATGATGAGAACATTATCAGAGTTAAAACAGGCCAATACTCTCATTAATATCATACCTGTTTTTAATAAAAATTCACTTAGCGATAAATTAGTTAGATGAAAGATTCCGGTATTTATAATGTGATATCAGCAAAAAAGATTAAAGAAAAACGTGGGTTAAGATAAGTGGAAGTAGTTAAAATCTGTCGTATTAACAAGATTTATCGTTTATAATAGTTGTTATGATATGATATTCCGGTCATGGAAGAGACGCTAAGATAGTAAAAAGTGACATCTTACCGCCATAGACAAACGTTTAAACAATGAAAAGACAAAAGTGTAGAACATGTACAAAAGTTAAGTAGTTTAATAAAGCAAACATGAAGTTTTTTTTGACAAAGTTATAACCACTTTACCCTCTGTAAGTTTACCTAGGCAAATGTTAGTACTACAAACGAACATAATTGAAAATAATAATTTTGCTTGGTATTTTGCATAAACATGAAATGTTAAATCATAGATCATTATTCAACCTGTAACTGAGTTTTTTTATTGTTTTTTTTATGTTTATCAATCACTACTCTCTCCTCAGTTTTAGATGGATTCTATTTTATTTGGCAACACTTGTTGTAATGACGTATACCTCAATAACGAAACATACATTTCTGTTATCATCAAATGTTTAATTTATAATGCTCCTTATTTATTACTTTACTTTCCAACATACTTTCCTTGGAAATGTTATTATTTTCCAATATGTAGGTGTTTATAAAAAGGGAGGAAAATATCTAAGCCTATGCTCATTTTTTTCAAACTGATTTCAAAATGCACGTTTTAAAAAAAGATTTTTGATGCGACGTGTTAAATTTAGTTATGATTTAGCAAACTAGTAGTATGGACAATTATCTTTTCCGATAAAAACGTACTACTTTTAAAAGCTATTATAAAAAAAAAACTAATGTACATATTATTAAATTAAACATTGGATTGAATCATACACATTTTGATTGACAAATCCGTAAGTTATATTGAACATGCAACGTTCATATGCGTGATATTTTGATGTTATTAGACATTTGGAAACTTATGATACTGCGAATAATAATTATCCGAAACTAGACTTAACAATTTTTACTTTTTCGTCACTGTTACAATTCATTTTTTGGCTCAACGTATCAAAGATTCTTTGGCTCAATGTATCAGAAATCTTCATTTCCAGACAATAAATAAAACAGGATTTTCTCTCTTATATAATGCTATAAAAATGAAGTAGACAGAAAAGAATCATAAGTCAAATGACATAAAAGAGGAGAATTGACAGCATCTATGTTACATTTTGTTAATCGTGCCATAAATTTGTCAAAGTTGATAGTTGGCATGTGTGCAGCTTTGTCTATAGTAAAGTTTTGCTGTTCTTTTTATAATGTTATCAAGTAACAAGTCATTAAATTATTCTGTTATTTATATTGCTTGGTTTGCTTGGTTTTAGAAGACAAGATTCTTGGCATTTTTTAAGATAAAAAAATAAGCGAAAATGGCTGGAGGAAAACATGGAATAAAAGAAAAATATTGATATATTGAAAACAAATTCTATATCAAACGAATATACATTGTATTCGTGTATATGAAGTATTATATTAAACAAAAAACTCTACATTCTCAAGAAGAAGCAAATAATTACATAATCCCTAAATTGCAGTTTTAAGAATGATTCATCTGTATATTGAGAATGTTACGTAATTGACAATAGAAATGCAGAAAAGGAGAATTAATTTGACGATGCATTCTGAAATACGATTACACTTTATGTTTATGAGCCGCGTCACGACAAAACAAACATAATGGGTTTGCGACCAGCATGGATCCAGACCAGCCTGCGCGTCCGCGCAGTCTGATCAGGATCCATGCTGTTCGCTTACAATCTCTAAAACAAGTAGAGAAACTGATAGCGAATAGCATGGATCCTGATCAGACTGCGCGGATGCGCAGGCTGGTCTGAATCCATGCTGGTCGCAAACCCATTATGTTGGTTTTGTCATGACAGGGTTCAATTATGTTTTTAGTTTTAACGCACAATTGATTAAATCCTTAAAATAGATAATGAAATGTAATAATATATGAAAGCCATGACCTGACTTTTTTATTTTTTAATTTGGAACACAAACCTCCATATGTTCTTATTTTCTAATTTGTATGATTAAACACATGAGAACGTTGATACACATTTGCAATATGTGACCCTTTATATTGTAGTTTTTGTTGAATTTGTTGAATAGAACACGATCATGACATTATGATTGAGTCACAACCATTCAAACCTAATTTACCACCTAGTCAGAATGACGTTTTATCTGTTTCCATACTTAAAAAGTACAAATCTAAAACGACGCAGGTTCATCGGGTGGGGGGGGGGAGGGCTTTGAATAGAAGTATATTTTACCAATATATAATGTATATTTTATCAATATATAATGAAGAAAGGGAACAAAAAAAAAACAATATATACCAAAGAAAATTAGAAATCATTATGCAACATTAAAAACATAAAATGTTAAAAAATAGAATAAAAAAATCATTAAAAATAATTTTTGGTCCGCTCTTAGACTTTATAAAAAAAACAACGTCACGTTGCAGTCTGTTACAGTGACAGTTCAATATTTGTACATCCTGGTCTTGTATACATATGTTACATGTTATTTTCACAGCATGACTCATGAAAATCTTATTTTAAAACCAAAACAGAAAAAAAGACACAATTTTTATTCTCTTTGTAAATATATTCAGTCAACGTACGATAAAACATACTTATATCTTCTGTTTAAGTATTTTAAATATAAAATAAGAGCATAAAGATTGAATATTTATACACTTGAAATATCCCAGCCGTCAATTTATGGGCTTTACAAGGGCTATCGAAAACAAATAAAAATTCAATAAGTTTTGTTGGTAGATGGAGATAAGGTTTGAGCATAGACTACGTTTTGCAAATACACCCTAAGCTCAATGGTGTACATATTTTCTGCCCGCTACTAAATTCACATATTGATTAAAGTAAAGTCGAACGAACTGAAGGTATTGCATTTATTAACGTGAATATACCAGAGACATTTGTTCTCGCGCTTAATACTGGAGAAAAGGTTATTAGAGAAGGGGGATTAAAGTTGTAATATATTATGCGAACATCTCTCTGTACAGGTGGAGACGAACAGTTGATTTGTTATTGTATACATGAACAGGACACTGGTAAACTTACTAAAAATTCAATAGGGAAAATTTTCCCGTGAACGCAAGTACGATAGTAAACTCGCGTTTTTTGTCAAGTATTTATTGTAAACGAACGTGAGTGGCTGGAATGCATATTTATTCCACTGGATTATATCGCAACAACCGCTGGTAAGAAAAGGTTTTTTTATATTCTATATATACAATGCAGCGCGTATTTATTTCCCTTTCAATTAAGTAGTTTCATTCATTTCTATGATATCGGAGAGAATAAGATAAATGCTTGATTCGCTATCTACTGTTTACCGTAGCTTCAGATAAGCTTAGAGAAAAGAGCAACTGATTTACTTTTTTATTCTGTAAATTGATTTTATCACATCATGCCGCTCGCTGGCTCGTTCCATAAAAAAACTATATTTGCTTGCATTTATTTATTACTTCTATTTGTGTTCGTGTCATTGATTAGTACAAATTGGTATATGAAGAACTGTATGACAGTTACACTATTTGACGTTGATTTAAAGGCTTATTATGCCCAAGAAATGTTTTTATTTTCATTTCTTAAAAGCTTTTTTATTTTTGTGTCCAAAAAAATTACTCATTTGCCAATTATATGGAAGTAAAAATACTACTTTGTATACATTTGTTAATCTTATGAAAAAATAATTCCACATAAAGCACTACTTTCTTCAGTTAACAAACATCTTACATGCTCTTTAATCAATAATTAACCGATATAAAATAATTATTTTGTATCTTTTGAAATATTTGAAAATTAATTCGTTTCAGAAGCATAATGTGCCATTAATAATGTTTTTGTAATTTGACATAAAAGATGAAGACCTGCTCAGCGAGTAAATCATGTTTTAAACGTTTTTTTTTAATGTTTGCAATTTAAAGGCAATTATACGATATCAATTATACAACACTTATTCATGTTTAATAATAATTATTGCCGGTAATAAATCTTCCTTTTTTAATAAACCGTATAAACAAGATTTTGTAAAAGGGTTATTTACTTTTAAATATCTGCAAGCAGCAAAAATATTTTTTTTATGATGCATTAATCTCGTTTTCAAAATGTTGTGTTTAACGACCCACACTCTTTCATTTTTAAGTATGCTATCGCTGAAGACATATTTACATACTAGAAAGATTGAAAAGTGAAAATTAAGTGTATCTTGTCTATCAAAATTGATTCTAACAGTTTTGTTTGAGTTACCAAACGGTAAAGAATGTAAGAGATTTAAAATATTTGCGCATTCCTACAGCAAGTTTAACAGTGTATGTATTGTGATATAAAATGAACGAACTTTACGGGATTACCGAAAGCTATAAATCAAATTATGTAGATGCTTTTCTTGTCTTATATTTGCTGATTATGTCTCTGTAAATGACCGCGCTCAAATAAGACAACCGTTTGTAATTACATTAAAGCCTTCATGAGCGGATATATTTTACTTCTTGTGAGAAAAGTCGAATCATTGTCTGACAAAAATCCAATTAGGTGTATCATACACAGTGAATTGTACCGCTCATCAAAATATCAATAAACGCAGCATGAAATAGAAAACATAACAGAATCACTAAAGAAAGAAAGCCCAACACGGAGGATTGGCTTGACTGAGCCTGTTAAGGGACAGTAGTGGTAATTGCAAGCTAGAGATAAAGTTACAGAATGTGGATTAAGTTTTGAAACAATTCTTTAATATTTCATCAAAGTCCAAAAAGGTGTGCAAAAGGTTGGCTTAAAATCTAAAAATGAACTTTTTTCATATACAGATAAACGGTTCGAAACTTACGAAAACTTACAAAGGGTAACATTTTGTACTGAAAACAAATGCTAAAAATAAAATATCGGAATTCTGAGCATTGAAAATAGTTTACACCTCTTTTATCCTATTACCTGTAGACAATCAAAGATAAAAAATATATAAAATGAAAACCTTAAAGAAAGCCCGGCTATTAAAAACATACACTTGAAAGAATATACATTTTCGATTGAACAGATATCTTATTCGGAAAAAACAAATACCTTAACTGAAAAAACAGTACTACATAAATTCGTATAAATCGACCCTTTTTTATCAAAATGTTACTTAAAAGAATTAGGAAAATAGTTTAATAAAATAAGTCAGGTCAAGAACCTAAGTCAAAGCTACAGAAAAATGTTATTACCGTTCTTAAAGTAAATAATTTAATACTTTGAACAATTTATTAAGTTCAAGTTTAAACTGATAAAAGATTGAGCGTGTGTAGAAATTGTGTTGTGAAACCCATGACTTTTAGCAAATATTTTGACGTTAGATACATATAGAATGGTATCCTATAATTGTTTAACTTATAATGTAATCTATGAGTAATTAGCCAATCATCTGTCTTTGAATAAATCTATGTGTATAAATGTGATATTTTTTCACAGTAAAACAATAAGTCATTAAACATACTATACATACTTTCGTCTACAAATTAATTTTTACTTATATAATTCTTTGTTTTGGCCAAATATTTTCAAAGTAACACGCTTAGTGCCAGTTTAATGTAGCCACACATCTCTTTGATGTTACATGACAATTATTTCGAATGTAATTGTGAATTATATCTCGAATTCGCTAATACAGTTAAACCTTATATCTTTATTGGATTATTCCGTGTCATTTGACATAAATATTTACGTTCGATTTGCCCTTTATCCTAAACATCGCATTTTTCAGATATTAGACTCTACTGATTAAAGAAGTGATGTCGTAATTGGCAATCAAATGAAACTAGTATCTTTAATTCAATTCAAAAGTGAACGTTTTTCTTCCTTTGATACTAGTGAGTGTACGATAATGTTAAAGCGGTGTTATTAGCTACTGCATTTTGTATTGTCGACATGTCGTGAATGAAAAAATTAAAGGGAATTATAGGGTTTAAGACAATTAAAACCACTGTTTGGCACTCAAGCTGCGTTAGTATTAAAATATATTACATACAATAATACGAGGAGCTGAATTTTAAAACACGTACTATAAGGTAGCACAATTCATATTAAACTTGAACTAAAACCTAAAGTAAACATTGCTGAAAACCCGGTTTGAATTTACTCAGGTTTACTTTAGTCCAGCGAAACATCTGTTATAAACAAACATTTTAATCAGTTCTTCAGTGTTTCGTTATGGCGAAGTGGAGAGAATTGTAAACAATGTTGAACAAGATAACTAATGGTGGTGATTATGTCCTAAATTATTTGCTGTTACTGACAAAACACAAAACCGGAATAAAATTGATTATTAAGAAAAACAACAGAAGGTTTAACCAAGATTCCCCGGAATATTGAATCTTCAAAGTGATAAAGAAAATCCCATGAATAACAGTTTTTTGTGGAAACTTGAATAATCTTAAACATGCATACGGGATTGTTAACGAAAATCGTTTGGTCGAATTCCAAAAATTCGTGTCGGGACTATTTTCCCGGTGCGTTCCATTTGTTTTCTCCGTACAAAAATAAATAAAAGTAAATATGCCTGACGTATAAATCTTACACTTAACAATGATCCATGTTTTGGTAAATGAAACTCGCCATTAATTGGGTCTTTCAAGCAATTAAAGTATAACAAATGTGTTAATAATGTTTACATTAAATATCTCATAATGTTTGGACATAGGGGTCAACCAACTACATTACATTGTCAATGGGGCATGCCCAAGATATTTACATTTTCTTCCATGTAAAATCTATTCATTTAAAAAATGAATGAAAATTAATCAAAACGAAACGAAAAATAACGAAAAAACCGTAGATTCGTGACAATTTAACATTCTTAAGTGTATAAAGAGATATATTTCTTTTTGATAAATTATAAATTTTTTGCTCATAAAAATGAATAAATCATTTTCGGCATATGAATATATTAATTTAAACAAATCTCTTATTAAAGTATTTCATCCAGTTTGATTTATTATTTGACTAGCGTTTTACATTAAAAAAATCCTTATTAACTGATCATAGCTACACGCAATCATTGACAAAGCCTTAGAGACAGGCCTTGTGATTATGTTTAAAATATGAACTCATAAAATTCTAAACAATAATATTGCACGAATCCTTTTGATATTCGTTAGAATATGTAACTTTGACCGACAAATCATTCATATAATTGAATTTTTAACAATACTTTGAATTGAACAATCAAATGCTAACAAATAAAACAAAGTTGTGCATTTTTGAACCAAGATCACTATTTTTTCCCTAAATGTAGGTGCATTTACATCGATTTTTTTCACGACTTACTACCCGTTCTTTAAATCTTCACTGTAATGCTAAATCGTTATTTAGTAGAAAGCAACCTTACAACATTAGTCTCATACTATAAAACAACAGGTTGTGTAATCAAAGACCCTATCTTCACAGACTTCCCGTATTGGATACTTTTAGTTCTTATCGTTTTCGTTATAACATATCCCTCTCCCCCTTTCACCGCCCTTGTGTCTTCTACCAATATTTTGTTCGGTGCCTTCTACTTAAGCCGGTGCTAGGGGGCGTGGACGGTAGTTTGCACTTGACAGTACCGTCCATGAACAGGCTCAATCAAACCGAGCCTGCAACATTTTCAATTTTGCCGTGTTGGGCTTTCTTTAGGGATTCTTATTTCTCTCTATTTTCTAGGTGCCCTACTGGTATGACTGGATTGTGTCGGGGGTGCGTTCTGTGAACGTTGCCTTGCCTTGTTGATCTTTATATCCCATTTTGTTTACAGGTATAGCTCTATAAGTACATGAATTCGCAGACATAATTGACATTCTTTTTACTCTGATCAATTCAGTAAAATATACGAGGAAATAATTTAATATCAATTCATATGAAACATGAATTATGTCTTTTGTATGACAAACATATTATCCTGATCGTGCGATAATTAAGCTATATCGCAGCTCTATATTCGCTGCTGCTTGACTCTAAGTCCGATGGGAAATAAACGTTTTAGATTATTGTCGATAACTTCTTCTAACTGATGAATATAAAATGAATGTTACAAAAAAAAAATGTGTAAGCATATGTTCTAAAACAAGAAATGTTATAGTTTGAAAAGTTTTATTCTTGTTTATAAAATTTCATGACTCCAAATTTAATTTTAGGGCGCACTATTCTTGTATACTCTTTATATGAATAATATAAGCTACAAAGGACAAACTATGCTAAAATAATCAAGAATCGTATAATTATGTTATTGTTATATTTTTTTCAGATTTATTTTGATAAAAAAACCAGTATGTCATAATATCATAATACAGAATAAAACGTTCATTAATAAGATATTAACCTGATATTTTAAGTAGGTTTGCAATTAATTGAGCATGCGCAACTCGCTATATTCATAGTTATTTTGTTTCAGCTACTTTAGCATAATTTTTTTCGGAATACAAAAAAGAATATGCTGCCAATTAGTGACAACCGAACATAAATGTATGGCCTTCAACTCATTATCTGTTGGTATGTCTCGCTTCACATCTCAAGATTAAGCCTTGCTTAAGCCTTCATATTCTCTAAAACGACCTTTTATTTCGTCTTATTTATGCATGAAATCGATCCTAAACGACCTTCACCTTGAGGAGAACAGGGGGGGGGGGGCATTGTTTAGTGTCAACAGTCATCACATTCTGTTAATGAAGTATTTGTAATGAAATAGAAAAGAAAGTAATATACTGGTTTTATATTAGGAGAGTAATCAATCAAATTATACAAGAAACTAGCCTTTCGTCTGATGTTTGCTTAACCTTAATAAATAACCATATATACTCTGGGCTTTGTATGCAATTGCCGCAGAAGCAAGACGATTTCATTAAAGAAATCGGATGAACAGTCATGAAAATGTACGAGAATAATCATCTTATCTGTGTGACTCTGTCTGCGTAGTTATCGGAGCTTTTGGCAGAAATTGCTACTTGCATATTTCCCCGGATACAAATAAGACTTAAGTAGATGATACGAAAGATTTAATGTTAATAAAACCTTATTGGGATTCATTCCTAATCTATTTTAAATTAAGAACGCAAACAACGTGTTTTTATATACAGCCAAATCAATGAAGTTTGATCAATTTTAATTTAATATTGTACTTGAAAAAGATTAAAATAAACAGAAGATACTCGAGAAAGCAGGATAATTAAGGCTATCTTAATATGCGTCTATTTAGAATTTAGGTTCAAGGATTACAGATATAAATATATCAAATGTTTTACTGTGCATATATTAATAATCTTTTATTTCATTGAAGCTGTTAGAAATCATGCCTTATAAGTATTATTTTTTTTATAGTTTTTATGTTTTCTGCTGAAAATGATGTAGTATGGTTTATTGATCGGTAAATCATGGTTTTTCTCATTTATGGCACACGCATTCTTTTCCATGGGGAACCTTACGCCACTTTTCAAGGAATGGCACGAACGTGTCACATTGAAGGTTCCATGATGACCGCCGTATGAACACATCTGCAGATGTTTCTAAATTCAAAATTTCACCATTATCACGATTTAATATTAAAGTTTGCTTAAGTCGGTGCTACGGGGCGTGGACGACAACTTACACTTTCCACTACCGTCCATGAACAGGCTCAAATAAACCGAGCCTGAACATTTACAATTTTGTCGTTCTGGGAGTTCTTTAGAGATTCTTTATTTCTCTCTATTTGACAGAGACCATATAATCTAACTGATTTAGCCACTTTTTATGAAAATTGATGTCCGGTGTGGCAATGGAATTGTAGTCCAATAACTCCCCCATCACTTTAAGCACATATATTTTATCATGCAGGTTGAAGAAATACCCATGTAAAATGTCAGTCTTTGTTTTGTTTTGGTAATACAATTCTCTATGAAATGATTTTTTAAAATATCTTGAAGAATATTCAATAAAAAGATAAATAACTTCAATAACTTATAGAAAACGTATAACCTGTATACAGTTTACTTGAAACTACATCATAAATACATAGCAGTTGTTTTTCTTAAACTTAAGAAATATTATTGGATTAATTGGCGTAAGAATATGTAAAAGCTAGGTAATGTTATAATCTACTATTCACATATGCCACATGCTCGATTTGAATATCAAATTACTAAATGCACAGATATATTGCTAACCTTATTACACAATTCTTGAAAGACAACAATATGTAAATATCATCCCAGCGGACTTGTAGTTTTATGAATATATTCATATATATTGACCTTCAGATTTTCACAAAATTCCCATGCATCTAGACTGTATGCATATATTTATGTAATTTGAATTGAAAAGGTTACTTGAAAGGAAATGAACACAGTTTACATATATATAGATAAAAAAGAATAAAAATGGAGCCAATGCTTTGGGAAATATCTATTCTGAAGTCAAACTTTAGCAATTTCAGATTTTAGATCGCCCTTTACAATGGCTAATTATGATTAACAATTTTCGCGTTTCCGCTGCATACAAAGCTAGTGGCGTATTCATCTTATCCTAGATGATTGCACCAAATAAAATTACAAACAGCATATCACAGAAAACTTCGAACTTCGCTTTTAACAATTTTCAGAGACCATAAAATTTATATCGTTATATCGGAAACAGCACCGTTATATGCGGTATATTGTTATAAGCGTTAGATCGTTATAAGCGATATCGCTATTAGAAGAGTATTCTTAATAAGGCTTTGTTTCTTACTGAATGCGTCTTTTTTTAATTGATTCGTCTTACTTTAACTACTATGGTAAAAATACAGTTTTGTTTATATCGACCATAAACTGCATTAGAAATTTATTTCCATATAAATCAATGAACAAAAAAATAGTGAAGTAGTTAAAAAACAGAAAGAAATACAATACAAAAAGATTTCATAAAAAACAACATGGAGTGCATGTTTGAATAAAAAAGTAATATCATAAATTTGAAGCGCTTCAGATTTTATTGAGTTTAAAATTTGTCTTTAAGAAGTGTTCCGTTGAAGTATAATTTATTCATTCACTGTGTAATATGTTTTACATGTAAATGTATTACATAGATCAATTAACATGTGATCATTGTGAGATAGTCTTTTATATGTATATTAAGAAAACAATTTGCATTAGAGAGTAAATCTCTATATCTTTTGTATACGGTTCTTGTTCAATATACAACATCCGCATTTCTTTATGAATGTGTTTTATATATCCAATGAAAATAATAATTATATAGATGATGATAAAGATGATAATGCTGACCATCACCATCATCTTCATTATATATTAATAGTGTTGACCAAATTATAACGAACTCAAAATCGGCATTTTCTTATACAGCATTTGAAGTGTATAAAATGTAATTTAATATGAAACTGTTTTATTTTTTTTCCAGAAGGAAATAGATAGATGAAGTCAGAAGCAAGTTAAAAATGTCGGATAAAGTCGCACCTTTGACGAATGGGTGTCCTAAAGAAAATCAAAATGCCAAACCTCCCGATTGTCAACAAGCAACATCTTGTTGCAAACGACAAACCTCATTAGAAACGGGCAATGGAGACACAAAAAGACCATTATGCCCAATTATGGCTAAAATGGCGGATTCTATTAAAGAAAACGGCAAAAATGACACACAGAATAATGTGACAGTAAAAACATCTACTGAAGAAGCATGTAATTCATGCAACAAAACTTTACCAACGAAACCTGTAAGATCAACGAGTGGATACGCCTTGTGTCAAGACTCCAATGTGGGGCGTACTTCAGGGAACAGAAAGACCAGTAACATATCAAATATATCAATGACGTCATCATCAGCTGGCTCTGATGAGACGGATGAGAAGAAGCTGGACCTGAGATGCCTTATAGAGAGTGTAGGCACACTTCTTATACCAGTTGTAAGTAATATTTGATAATTTCTAAATCATGTGCTACTTTTCAGTTATTAATTATTTATTCTTATGTATGATTTTAGTTGTTAGCCTGTCCATGCTCTGCCTTGTGCCCTGTCCTGTTTTTGTATGGGGTCTTCCCCTGGGCTCCTTGTCACTGGCTCTTGTTACTGGGTCGGGTGGTGGCTGCGTTCATTGAACACCGCCTTTCCTTGTTGATATTGTTTATCATATTTTGTTAGTTTGTTTCGTTTGGTTTGGTTTTACGGCGCACCAACCAATTCAGGATATATGGCGCCGAAACAGGAAAGATTATTTTTACCTACCTCATGTGGCACAAACTTAAAGCAACACAAGGGGTAAAAACTAGTAATTCGTAGTAAAATCGAACCCATTGAGTCGACACTTACGATCACGCAGTGGCTGCAATTCTGATGCTTTTCTGTTAAAGGCAATACGTCATTCACAATGTATGGAAAAAACTCTCAAAAACATTCATATTCCTTTTCTCCTTGATCGTTTGCTTCATACAGCATAAAATATACCATTATCAGACGTTTTTAGAATAAACCAATTTATTAAATATCAATACTATAGCGTCAAGAAAAGCTAATTTAAACATGTATATGTGTAATTGATTAAAATAAGCGACAATCAAATTTAAGCTAATTCTTTATTTTAGCACTTCGGACCAATAAAAATATACGATTTTCAAAAATGATATATACAAAATGTACATGTCTGATACTTAAATAAATGAACATTTGTCATAAATAAATTACTGACTGACATTTCGGATGTTAAGTTATTTTATAGGGGAAGCAATTTGCCAGCATACAAATTACATCAATAAATCATTAATAGTTGGAGAAACACACCCTCATCTGACATTCAATATTGCCATGACATCTTTTTTCCAGTACAGACCATACTGCATCCAAAATTATCATTAATTGACAACATCGGGACAAGTATCGAACGATAAATAGAGAGATGTGTTGTGAATGCAATGAAAACATTTTATATAAAACCATACGAGTAGACATACTAAAAAAGGAATTATGATGTATCAAATAGATTATATACACGATGCACTCAGATAAAAGCATAACTTATTTTAGAGACTAATAATTTAAGGTCTTCAAACACCAGTAAACAGTAAAACATCAGAAAAATAGTGTACAAATAATCTATTGTAAATGTGCCTAGTGTAACTTTGTATGGAAAATTCCGATGAGTAAATGACAGTTATATTTGAATAATTTTTTGTTTTACTATATTTGCCAATGAAACTTGTAGCCACGTATTTTAAATCAAAGTTATTTAACAATGGAAACAGTAATATCTATTTTATCAAAAATGAATGAAGTATAATAAATGTCGAAGTTATATCTAGATGGGAAAATTCCGGTGAGTAAATGATATTCATTTTGAATCATTTACCTGTTTACATTTTTTTCAGCCCCAGCCAATGAAACTTGTTACCACATTTTCTATATTATAGTTATTTTAACAATGGTAATAGAATAAAGTACTAATAGTAATATCTACTTTACCAAGAGCGAGCCAAGTATAATGGATGTCGTAGTTTTTTTTCTGCATATAAACAAAAATTAAGTATCAAGTAAAGGTAAAGAAAGACATGCTGTGTTTGGAATACTTTCTTACGAATTTCAGAATAAAAGAAAGTGAAATTCACATTCAACTACATGCTTTCTACAGTGTTCACACAATATATCTTGTATATCTTTACCTCGATAACTGCCAAATATTCACCTTTAAGTATCCAGAGCATGGATTTTATGGCTTTTATGATATTTTTTATCAGTGTCCTCTTTGAATTCTATATTAAGAATAAGATGACACTTTGACAATATAATGTTGGGTGTTACATTATCTCTAACACATAAACTTCACCTTACCTCGGAAATGGGTCTTTAACTGTAACATGTGTGTAAGGGAATGTTTAAATTCTTATGTCATATTATTTTCGAAGCCTCCACAATATTTCCGAACGTGTAAAAACGCTTGGTTCGTATATTTGCTTAAGGCCATAGTTTGTTTTTCTTACAAATCAAAGTGACATAGTCTTATCTGTATACATAAATTATATATAAAAACATGTAAAGTATAAGTATGTAAATTTATAGAGATATGTGGTTATAAATTAAATACTTCTTTCACAAAAAACGCATTTGAACAAGCAATTTAGATACTATAAAAGTTTAAATTGATACAGTTGAAACATGTTTAAATGTTATGATACCGTTTGAAAACAACATGTCTTATATGGGGTATTTTAGTTTAAACATTATCGTTTCCATAAATTGTTCATACATTTACATTTATTTTGCCCCCTTCCCCGACCCTCAAGTCCCTTTCCCCTACACCCATTCACTTTTTAGGCCTATTAATTAATCGTCTTCTTTAATTTCCTTGTCTGTTTTTATTATTTCCTTTTATGTATTATTGAAAGATCATGTAACACAATTTGTGTATGGTTTTATATCATAATATGATGCTCAATTTAAAATTTATCAAATTTCTTTTTAAGTTTCAAAAAGCATTATTTATAAAGATATTACCGAATTTAATATTTCATGTAAATAAAGGTAGGTTATAAAAAATTTAGTTTCAAAAGTCAATTTTTTCATTAAGAAATGAATGCATATATTTTAATGATTACATATAATATGTACAGATATTTACAGTACATATTTTACATACTTTTCAATGTTTGAAAATTGTTTAATAAGCATGATTATATACATACATGTATATATAATTTTACTTGAGTGTGATATGCAACACAGAATCTTTAAGTAATCATCCTGTCCGTGTTTTACCTTGTGCATTGGCCTATTCTTTGGTGTCCTGCTTGGCTCTTCGCCGGTTACCCTATGTTGCTGGATTGTGAGGGCGTGGCGTTCATTGAACACCGCCTTTCCTTGACGATCTTGTTTTTCATATTTTACACTTTCAACAAAGAAAGATGGGATGTGGAAAAAAGTAATAACTACTAATATCAAATACTCTCTGGGAATACCTTGGGTATCTTGCCCTTACCGAGTATGATATTGACAGAATAATTATGGCTTTAACCTTTCAAAATCTATTTTAATATAATAGCGAATCATGAATGATTTGTGATTTGAAATATTTGACATACCGATATACGAATATGTTGCCCGAGTAGTGCTGCAAGTATCACACTTTAATAAAAGACGGTACATGACATGAAATACAAAGTTATACCACAGGATTAATTGTTTATTTAATTTAAGATTACATTCACATTTGTATGTTTATTTCTTACGCCATGCCGAATACTCGAAGTTCAACGAGAAAAATGCTTGATAAGAATGTTGATAGATATTACATATCTATCAGACTAAAGACAAAGTAATCAAGTTATTTGAGTTTAAAGTATATTCTTCTTTTGCTGAAGGAAGAGATACGTTATAGGCATGCCTTTGACCAGGTTTTCCGAAGGCGAATGTCTGAATGCGGGCGTAAACAATATCTTCTGTGCTCAAGAGATTTTTAAGGCCCATTAAGCCTAAAGAATGTTTCTATTTTAATATTTCAAAACTTTATTTTTCATTTCTTTTGTGTACTTATAAAGTTTAAAAAAAGTTAGCAATTTCTGTTTATTTTTCCTATTGTTGCTTTTCAATTTGGTTTTTATATGGAAGTCAAAATACTACCTTGTTTACGTTTTAGTATTATTATGACAAATAATTTCATACTTGCTGTTTTTTTTCGTTTGAAGAATATTTTACATGCTCAAGAGATTTCTTGTGTCATTGTAGCGGGGCAAAATATCAATAAAACGAATATGTTTAAATTATAGTTAATATTTTAGTTATCAACAGGTCTTAAAAAGTGTTAAAAGGCTCCTAATTTTTTATCAGACGTATAACTATAAGTCAAACAGGTTACACATATATAGTTGAACTGAGGTAGGTCTCTTTAGCATTTAAACTTAACCAAATGTTTAAACATACTATTTGAACAGTCAACCACTATTTACATATAGATAAAAACGTAACATATTGCGTCAAAGGTTTACAAAAACGGTAGGCTTATTACATCAAAGATTAAACGTTATCTGAATGTATGACCTTTAGTCCTTCTTCTCCTGACATCGTAATCACTACGTTAAAGCAGTCCTCAGCTTTCATGATGTGTTGGAAAAACAATTTTGTGTTGTTTCAAACTAAGTATTTGAGTAACTGTATCTTGGAAAAGAGGAACATATCATTGCTAAGCCTTCTTCAAAACAACGTCCAAAGAAGATCGGCAGCAGACCGGTAGATTAGAGAAATCGAGGGGTTTCCTTATTGTTTATATATTTTATTTACGGTTAAATTCACTTTTCACCTTTATTCCATCGATTTGACAATTATATGAAACGGTATACATGTATCTATAAATAGCATATATAACCTTTAGAAAAGGTGAAGGTCACATTAAACAGAAATAGTATCGCCAATTTACAAATTTAAAACTGAGCCATATGTTTAAGTTTCCTTATCACATTACATTTTGTAAAATATTCACAGTTTACACTGACAGCAGTGTTTGTATACAGTAAATCACCTGTCGCCTATACAGGTATATCAATGATTTGAGAACCTGTGAATTCCATTGTACCAAATGGCCAATATTACACCGAGCCACCTAGCAATATGAGAAGACAGATTTTGCTTTAAAGGCGAATATTTCAACCGGACAACTTTTGCTTTGTCCTAACAATTGCAAGTGCTGTCTTTAACAATTGAGTAGTATGTTTTGTAAACTTTTGGAACAACTACGACGCTTTGTCCGTGTCTGAGTTGTAATAGGTTTTGCAAACGTTAGGACCAACTTTGTCGAACATAGAAATATAAATGCTTTTCATCACATTCGTAATATTGTTTTTTATGGAAATTTATAGCTATCCGAGGAAGTCTCTACTGTTGTCTGCTATACATGGAAGGGATCCCTTCAGAAACACTGATTTGATATCTTTAAGTGTTGGCTTTGAACCAGACAAATATCTTTATTTATAAATCCGTCATTACTATTTTTACACATCTGACATTTAGGGTGCTTGCATCGATGAATCAAACAAGACAAATTCCTTAAATACATGACGTGTTCCAGCTTGAAACACGTAACAGATATAAGGTCCAGGTGCACATTCTTTGAACAGCCTGTGTGAAAGAAAACAGGAAATGTTGTTTTATCCAATATTGATTGTTAATTAACAGCTGTTGTGTGAAATAATTGCAAAAACAGAAAATTATCAATACTGATGGATGTAATTGAGATGTTGTACACAGCTACTCAAGCAAGAAAATACTTTAAAACTTGAAGGATATGTTAGAATGATTAGGTCGATAGTATAAAAATACTTATTTGTACTTGCGGATTAAGAGAAAAAATTTAATACAAAAAGTTTAACAATTCAACATGATTGTCAGGGGCAAGCCGTTGTTTCCTTGAGCAAGAAACTTTACATTCATTGCTTAGTACTAGTTGGTTCCAGGAACGGATTCGAGAGTGTTTCAATAAGCTTATAGCTTCCAACACAATCGAACTAAAAATAAATTTGTATAAACTAAACTAAATGTTAACATATTACAGTAATTTTATGCATTGACGTTTTTGAAATTACAATAACTCTTTGTTTATTTTGTCTCCAAGATGTGCGTCGTATAAAGGATTGTTACTAGTCTCTCTTAAATAAGTAATATGGTCTGAAACGCCGTTTGACATTGTTATAGCAAACACTTGACCATGTTTATCTCACAGACAGACAGGAAACTATTAGACTGTTAGAGTAAATCAGTCATTTTATTATACATAAAAAACAGTGCGAACCTTAAAAAAATAAAATAACTAAATACTGGATATTGCTAAGCTTCCTGTCTTGTCGTTTTGATCGATGGTAAAAGCTTTCAAAGCCAATAAAAAGAAATGTTATATTTACACAAAATAAATTTCTTTTAAGCATGCTATCCGTTATTAACTCCTTCAACTAAGAAAGTGTCATGCTTTGATAACCTGGATTAGAAGAAGAACACTGATATCCATTTAAATGATATTGTATTGGAAAGAAATGGTTGACAGATGTATATGCTAAGTCTGTACTTAAAAAGATCATTATATTTTGCAAAATCCTGAATATTTCGGCAGACACAAATATCACAGACTTTTATTGAATATTTGACAACAAACTTATTCTCCATATGTATGTTTTGTAATTGTTTCTAAGTTTAACTGCCCGGTATGTCATTGTTAAAATGATTTAAAAAATATGATATTGAATAAAATCACAATAATTTCAGACTGAATTCATGTACAGAGCGTTAAACAATCTACTTACAAAGAAAGATCCGTCCAAGTTGCAACAATTAAAGTAAGTGAGACTCTTTCTATTTTCATAATATGAGTCTAAAACAGTAAGAGTATAGAATTATTTTAGATGTATATAAAAAAGAAAATACGGTCTTATCATAAACATATTTTAATTACAGAAGATTTACATATGTTGTATAAATTAAATAATCATATGGTATAATTGAATTTTAAAGGGCATCTATTGTCTAGTATAGAATTTGTGTGCTGCTTAAATTCATATCATGTGTTGCAGCCCAAACAGGTTCACGACCACGCCGTCTCATTTAAACAAAGAATTTGTAATTGTAAATATTATTTTGTACATGTATTGTCTAGGTCTACATGTACGTCTGCGGTTGAGCTCGAAGACAAAATGGAAAACTTATATCTACGACATAAACCTCTAGACGAATATTTCGTTTTAGACTTAATCAAACACTCTGCTCAAATTCTTCGTAAGTACATTGTCCTTAATTTCAATGATATATTTTGTATGTCATCACTTTCATAAAATTATCTTTGAGAATTCCTTTCTTGTCTATTCATTTGAAATCTTGTTTCAATACTTTTTTCATCAAGTATTAAGTAAAACAAGACACATCTTAAATCATATGCCATTCCGTAATTTAAAAGGGAAAGATACAATTTCTTTTAATAAAAACAACAAAGATTTGACATTTTTAAAACAATATACATGCATTGTACATTGATTATGATATATAAAGTATGTAAGGAATAATCCTTAATTATAATATAAGAATGTGAAAAAGCTCTTTCACCAAAGTATACAAATTTATATTAGAATATTGTTAACCACAGAAGACATTATAAAAATATAAAAGTTACATAACTTATACGAGTATTATTTTCACTGGTATTCCTTTTGTTAACCATTGTTCTCCGTTTACTTTTAGAAATAAACGAAAATTGTTTACTGCGGCAACTTGGTGAAGAATACTTTCGTCTGTGCCTTTTAGAATATGGAGATGCCATCGGGATGATGGGGAGCAATATTCTTGAATTCTTCAGCAATCTCGACGGATTACAGACATATATTACCTCATCTGAGAGATTCAAATCACAAATTCCCCCTTCTTCTAGATGTGAATACGAACATAACAACATGATATTGCATTTTTATACAGACAAAAGACAACTTTTAGAATATTATGCCGGCATTGTTGCAGGAATTTCTAAATATTTATTTCAAAGGGAAGCGGAAGTGTCTGTTACTTGTAGCAATACTCCTGGTTCATTACATCATATTATAAATGTTAAGGCTGAAGAACAAAAGACCATACCAGACTGTCAAATGTGCTCTAAGCAAGAAAAGACTAGCAAACTAGCATCCGACAGTAAAATTAGCACAGCGACATTTTGCAAAACATTTCCCTTCCATTTTATAATTGACAAACATCTTGATATTATACAAATAGGTGAAGCACTGTGTAAACATGTGAATATGGCGAAATCGTCAAGTAAAAAGAAGCTATCGTTACATTTTGAAGTGATTAGACCAAAAATTGACCCACTTACATACTCAGCATTGCTCTCACATGTAAATTTCACTTTCAATCTCAGGACCAAACAGACAGACAAACATTGCAAGACACAGGTAAAACTTGTATTCTTTATTTCTATTAAAGATCACATATCAATTTTAAGATTCATTTTATTACATGTAAAAATTTTTTTTCAGACATTACATAAAATCTGTGCAACTTTTAATGTATTTATTTCGTTTACTTTGTATCCATCGGAGGGCAATATAAAATTTACGTATTTCTTTTTTTTCATATATAGTCGATGGAACTGAAAGGTCAGATGATTCAGTTACAAGAAATTGATGGCATCCTCTTCTTGGGCACACCAAGTGTAGAAAAGCTAGATGAACTGATAGAGAAGGGCCTTTATATTTCTGATCTACCGATACATGACGCAACCCGTGACGTCATACTTGTAGGGGAACAAACAAAGGCGCAGGTACAAGACAAAGAAATATTATATTTTAATGAGTACACAACTTGTTAAGAATGATGTTTAAGATAGTTCAAGAAATTTTGTCCAAACGATTATGATAAAAAGTACAAATAAAACAATTCTTTGACCAAGTCTTTGATCTAAAAAATCATTATGTTATGTTAAGTCTTGCTTGAAAATCTATCGATGTGTCAAGCATTTTTTACAATGTTTCTTTTGTACTTTTTCAATATGTTTTCTTGAATACATAACATATACTTGGCAAGTTTATTTGAATAACAGGATGGGTTACGCCGACGTATGGAAGACTTGAAGAGAAACATTATGGAGGCAAGTGCTGCTGTAGAAGAAGAAAAGAGGAAGAATGTAGAGCTACTCCGTATGGTTTTCCCATCTAACATAGCTGAAAGGCTTTGGAGAAGTGAGTAAATGTAAATAATCCCTTGTCTGCCTCTTTTGTATTGAACATTTTTTTTTATCTTAAGCTCTTGCCTCTTTATCTTTTATCGTTAAGCTAGACCTGAAATTGTTGTTCACTAAATTGTTAGAATGACTCTGATAAACTTCACCACACTTGTGTATTTTTTAAATACACAAAATAATATGTTATCTTTAAAATGATATCTGACAAAGTTATCTGGAAAACATGATGATGGTATTTTTTAAATACACAAAATAATATGTTATCTTTAAAATGATATCTGACAAAGTTATCTGGAAAACATGATGATGGTACACAGATATTGTCAGTGGAGCAAAACGAAGTGAAATAATCAACCAATGACTTACGTTTGTTAAAAAACCCAAACAAAACAGCTTTATATAGCTTCGGTCAGTTCTTCCAGAAAAATCGTTCCTTTTTCATTGTTATACCTTAAACATATTTATGTCAATTACGTACAAACCATATGTAGAAGTCTTGCAATCTTACAAATCATCAATTTCAATGGCAATTGTTTCGGACGCGCTTCCGGAAAAAGGCTTTGTATGCCTTTAAAAGTCATAGCACACGCAATTAAGTAATAACAAGAACTCATAAAGAACTTGATCGATTCATAATATCTGGACCGAATGGGTTACAAATTATCCGGAGAGCATTATCTTCACCTAAATGGTACCAATGTACAAAAGCGTATTGATGAAAGGTTATGTATTAACGTTTCAGTAAATTACTGGCGGTATAAGAAAATGAACAAAGTTCTGGAGTGTCGGATTCATTATCGACTGTAAAATTGCTACGCGCTGGTTGCTTTCAATACATTGATTAAGAGAAAATTACGAGAAACTTGCAAAAAAATCAAGAGTCATTAAGTACATAAAAATATGACAACCAATTCTTGTAGTTTCTCTTTTGGCTGAAGAAGTGTATTTGTTTTATTTTTAATGTCCATTTCTTTTTAAAAGGTTTCCCATGTTCTTGATTTATTATAAATTTACATTTCTTTCAAACACGGAATCCCTAAAGAACTCCCAAAACGACAAAATTAAAAATGTTGCAGGCTCGGTTTAATTGAGTCTCTTTATGGACGAAATTGATAATTGCAATATACCGTCCATGACACCCCCCCCCCGCATCGGCTTACGCAGAATTCAGTTTATAAAAATGTATTGCATGTTAACACAAACACATTTCAACTTTAATTAATTGAAGAAAGCTTAATAACAACCTGCACTTAAAAAATAGAGAAGTATAATTTTGCTCAAATATTTTTACTAACGAGGCAAAAACATAATTAACGCATTCTTAACATTGTAATCACATACACGTGGCAAACCGTTTATCTTCAATATTGCCAGCGATATTTGACTTCTTTTGTAATTATTTGAGGCTTTTCTTTTTTATTTATTCATCTATTTCTACTGACCTTATAGGATACAATGATGTATGATTCTGTGTCATGGTAATATATTTTTGTTTTTGTTGTTTTGATAGATGAGCGTATAGAGCCACAGTGTATAGAAGATGTGACGATATTGTTTTCCGACATTGTTGGCTTTACGTCAATCTGTTCTTCATGTACACCAATGGATGTCATCAATATGTTGAATTCCCTATACACGAATTTTGACAACTGTTGTGGATTCCTGGATGTGTACAAGGTTTACACCATTATGCATTATTTTGAAATCCGAAAGCAGTTTATACAATTCACTGTATTTTACAATAATTAATTAGTTATAAAGATTTTTGACAGGTTATATGGTTCACGCCATTGTATATTACTTTGAGAGCCTAAAGCATTGTATACAATGCACTGTATTTTACAATAATTTATTAGTTATTAAAGTCTTTGACAGGTTATATTTGGCATAATATAAACGGTAATTTGTATATATATTGTAAATAACCGTTTACAAAGGGTCATATAATCTTTTATGAATCTTTATAACGACTATACATCAAACTTCCTTTTAGAAAGAAAAAAGAGATTTGTTCATAAATTAAAAGCAGTCGTGTATAAAAATTGAAATCACGATTATCCAATGAAAAGCAACATTACAAACGTCAGTATTAAAAAGAATTTTTGATGGAGCCGTTGAAGAATTTGTATGGTGAAATAACAATAAGTACAATCAATCCAGTAAATCCAAGAACCTTAAGAAAGTTTATCAAAATCATTAGAAATCGTTTAATTTTTTTATCAAAAGAGATTCACAAATAACCTGTTATCGAACAAAATTGTTTGTTGAAGGATAAAAGTTAATGCGAATGCAGTGTTTAAAGCTATTTATTTAGTTAAAAGATAATAAATAAAACATTGGGTTATCATACAGGATATTTAATAATACAATCATTTAAAATAATTTTCTCCTCATAGTTTTATGACACGAATACAATGAAGAGATTGATGGGCTCGAATATTTATTAAGTACATTCAATAAATTATCGATATTTTCCCCTATGATTTGTTTGACGATTATTTTGTTCAGGTTGAAACTATTGGAGACGCATACTGTGTTGCGGCAGGTCTACATAGACCATCAAAATACCATGCGATGCAAATTGCATGGATGGCCATTAAGATGATGGAATATGCTAGTCAACAAAAATCTCATGATGGAAAGGTTATTCAGGTAAACTGCCTTATTTATTTATCATTTCTTTATATTTTTGGTTTTACGTCGCACCATTACAGTAGAGGTCAAATGGCGACTTTCTAGCTTTACTTGTAGAGGAAGACCTCAGGTGCGTGGCTTTCTGTACATTATTTCAGTCACGAACACGCACCTGAGAATAATCACCTACGTTCCGAAAGCTAGCTTGATAGCTTACTCACATGAAAACATCCAAAGTCCTTGCCGGGATTCGAACCGACAGCAGTCAGAAGCAAGTGGTTTGCCGTGACAATTTTAACCAGACGATAAGTTGAATTGCTTACTGAGTATAATTATAACATAATTTTGACACTCATACATATTTTCAGCTGATAAAAGTTACAAAATAAAAAGAAACACTTTCGTCAATTATGGTGTTAGTATAATTTTGCTATTTTAGATAAAGCGTAACAATGTACCACTGATTTTTTTATATTGACATTAACAATTAACATTACTTTCGTTCCTATTTTACTACTCCGATATTGATTTTAGTTTAATCAATGAATATAAAATGCTAAAGTAATATAAATGTTTTACATTTGATCTTATCTATTTATTTATGGTAAAATTATAAATGCTTTATTGCAGATGAGAATTGGTTTGCACACGGGTAATGTACTTGCAGGTGTTGTTGGGGTAACTATGCCTAGGTACTGTTTGTTCGGGAACAATGTCACACTTGCCAATAGGTTCGAATCTGGCAGTGAAGCCACCAAAATCAATGCAAGTCCTACAACAGCAAGGTGTGATTTCATAATACATTATCATTAAATATAAAAGTAGAATGAGGAATAAGTTGAGATGAATAAATATGTTTCATTAACTAATTATATAAATAGTTTCTATAATATCTTAAAAACATGAGTATAAATTGAACAGTAGCTATGTTTCCACTTGATATATCATTATTTCTATCATATACTTTGCCTTACTGATTTATTTTGATCTTAACTATACTATCTTCTTTTGTAGATTATTACAAGAAGGTTTCAAACTGACGCCTAGGTCACGTGATTGTCTACCAAAAGGCTTCCCAACAGACATTGAAGGAACATGTTATTTTGTGGAATCCTATAAGTTCCCTCACACAGAGCTCCAAAATGATCTTACCACTGACAAACATATTGAACTTGCTGTGAAACATTACAAAATAAATGAGGTCGCCTAGGCGTAAATGTCATTACATATTGGTGTGTTGATAAATGTGATATCTCTGAAGTAAGGGGAAAGAAAAAAAGTCAAGTTAAAGGTGTTTGTTATAGTTACATAAATATAGACACATTGGCTGAATAAAAACGTATAATAGAATTTATTTAAACTTTGCTTGATTTTTGAATATTATATCATATTCCAAGATCACGCAAAGTTTAAATGAAATATATTATACAAGTTTCATTTCGGCATTGTGTCTATAAGTCTATAAAAGAATAATTCTTTAATTGTGTATTATAACAATACTTCATTATATGCAAGTTTGTTTTCGACAATCAGAATACACTTTATCTTTTTATCTTTGTATTTATCTTCTCTAATGATTGTGATGTTAACAATTGTAAATTTGATTTACTCCATAACATTAAATGCACGAGTATCACCACCTTGTTTTTTACCTCTCTTCTTAGATTTTTATTTATGTCTCACATATTATTGTTGTATAAAAAGTCTAAATATACAATACTGATATGTTTATAAGAACCTTAAAGAGCTGAAGGAATGTGAAACATTAAGTGGTTAATTTACTCGATTATGAACCCCTCGATGAAATAATAATAATGATAATAATACTTCTATATTTTTACAAGTTTATAATCGTATAAAATACATTTTAAGTCGCTTCAATATTTGTATGATACATACAATTGATATCTGAACAAGTCTGCTTTGGTAATTTTAATTTAAAGCAAATATTTAAAGTGAAATGTATATTAATTGCTTTTTATATTGATTACATTTTCATCTATAACAAACAAGTATACAAAACAGAGTATATATGTAATTTAAAGCTGAGTAAACATGTATACGTTATATCTACACCTATACAATATATTATAATATTGATTATGAAAGACTGCTTAAGATAAATTCATGAGTTAAAATAAAAAAAATATATATCACAAGAAAAATATAAATATAACTATGTCGGTGCTATTTTATGGACTTATAATGAATAATACATATTATTCTGAATTATATTAATTATTATGTTTGCAAGAATCTACTTTTCAAAACAAAAAATATACAATTCAATAAAATCATAATAAGTGTTATTTACAAATACAACAAAACTTCACAATAAAAAAAAACATTCTAAGAAATTTAAATAAAAGCCAAAAATATCTCTATGTCTTTATTTTGAATACATTCAGATGAACCAATGTAATCTGGTTGTTATTTTTACATTATTATCTCCTTTTTTCAATTACAGCGACCCAAATATCTTTTTTTCTTTCCATTTAGACAGGAAAATTAAACTTTTCCTTCTGTTATTAAAAAATAATCTAAATGATTTTAAAAAATTCCCAATACCCAAATTAATTTTGCTGAATTTTGTAAGGATTTCCCCTTGCTTTGAAATTTAGAACAGTCAATTTAAAGCAGGGGGATTTTTTAAAAAAATAGCTCCAAACCCTTGAAAATATGTTCAAGCCTGGTTTCATCTGGTTACAAGACTATCCTGTCTTTCTGGTGGAAAATTATTTTTTTTTATAAATAAGCCCAAATGGTTTTTTTAACATCCATAGATTTTCATTTTTTTTTTTATTTTTACAATTGTTTTTTTCCCATTTTTTTTTTAAAAATATTTCTGATTTGAGTCTCTAGTAAATATTGAAATGGAAAACAATTTTTTCATGGCATGTAAATATTTAGAATATTATAATATGTACTAATGATTTGTTATATTCATGATTTTTATCTTATTTATGTATAATTAAATACTTTATTTTCTATTTATATATTAAAATTGTTGAAAAACTTTGGGTTTTGTTGTTAAATAAAAGTATCATTAGAACAGCATCATAGTGTTGCTACAGTTAACACATAATGTTTACTATACATAATATTTTTGCAAATATGGTATATCCATACATATCATAATGTTTTATAATCGTTGCTGTCCACGAATGAGTCAATAGTTTATAAAAAACATATATGTCCTTTGCGACAATAAATACTTTGACATAAAAACAACACAGAATGAGCAAACAAACTGTATGTGACATTTTTCCTGCCTAGAAATAATCAATTGGTAAGAACATTGAAATATGTTAGGTATTTAAATTCTATGTTCGTTTTTCTGTTGCTTTTTTACATTGACCTTTTTCCTTTGGCATTGAGAGAAAGGTTAACAAAAATACTCAAATCAGATGAAATCAGTCATCAAGTATCTATGTCACATTTAAAAGCCTTCCTATTTTCGCAAACCTTTCCTCTATGCCTAATGATTGTCAACGAGTTTGATAAGAGAAAAAGGCAAATTAAATATTTACCCAAAAGAATGATGAATGTAAGGCTCAAAATGACCTTAAAGTTATTATATTGTTTTCTTATTAATCATTTAGGAAAAAAAAATTTGGTTTATTAAAAAAACCCTTTTGTTTTAAAAAAAAGTTTTTGCTTTTTTAAAAATTTAATTTCCCCAAAAAACCTTTTTGTAAACATGTGTTTCTTAAAACCTTTTACAAAAAATAATAAAACAATGTTTTATTTTAAAAAAATACCATTCAGAAACTAAAAACATGTGTTTTTTTTAAGTTAAAAATTCCCAATTATGGAAAAAAAAAAACTAGGGCCCCGCACAACAAATAAAAATCGTTTAAAATTTTTTCCCTTAAAGGGTTGTTTTAAAAACCAATTTAAAGTTAACACAGTTGGTGTAAAAACATTTTTATTAAAATGCTTTTTTATTTTACGTAAAAATCAAAGTTAAATTTTTCACGACTCCCTTTACGGTGATTCTTTTTTCTGTTTTTGGGCAGGGGAAATTTGGGGCTCATTAGCCATTCGGATTGGAAAAACGGTAAAAACCCACAACAGAATTTTTTTCATATAAATTTAATACTATGTTAAGCTTTTTCATAAAAGTTATCAAACAAATTTACAAAACCTTTATTTTCTTTTCTTGTTTGTCCCCCCCCTTGACAAATTTTTATTTAGAAGAAAAGTTTTGGATAAATGATTTCTTATAAAATGGGTCGCAAGCGTATAAATTTATTAAAATTTAAATCCTTAATAAATTTTTTTTAAAACAAAGAAGCTTTTTTGGGCAATCGTATTTTTTTTACACAAATAAGATTTTAATATCATTGTATGTAAAGGAGTTCCCAAAAGTGGCCTTAAAAGGGTCGATTGTTTGTTTAAGTGTTTGTTTGTCCCGTTATTTTTTAAAGGAGGGCAGTTACTGGAAAGCCCCTTTATGACCATTTTTCGCCCGGTTAAATCAGAACGGAAAAAAAACAAAAAAGGAATTCCCGAAAATTTTAATTTCCCTTTTTGGGATTTGAAATTTCCTTTTTATTAAAAACCCCCCCCCCCAAATTTAAACAACTTGATTCCAAAAATTTTGGGGTTTTCTTCCTGTTTAAAAAAATTTTGGCCAAAATTTTCCCCAGTTTTTATGTTTTAGTTCTTTTTTACAACTAATTCCGAAAGGAATGACATCTAAAAGATATATTAAGTTATAAACAAGCCGGGAGATTTGTAATAGACGGGAAAAATATAGTCTTGATGCGTGCCTTTCGACATCTGACAGTTTAATTTTTTAGGATGTAATTGCACCCTCTTGATTAGCTATTGGTTTCGCTCATGAGTCACAATAATTAAAGTAGATATAGACATTCCAGGAAGGACTGGTTTGTGAACTCTTTAACCCGGACACATCTTGAAAGCATCCATAAGTTTATGAATTTTAAATAAAATATTATTCAAATTGTCTCATTATTGTTTTTTTTGTTGCTTCAATAAATGTTAATGTTTACACGGAGGAACATCCTGTAGCAATTCTATCAATTATCAGTTAGTGACGATAAAATCCCACAGAATTACTGAATTTTTAAAACATTTTTCTATGCTTAAGTATTCGAGTGAAGATGATATATTCAATGAAATGTCAGAAAAACAATATTTTGTTTATAAACGCCATATTGTTCAGATTTCAGTTAGTATGGTAACCAAATTTGTTGATTTATCATTGAATTATTAAACTCAAATTTAGACCTGAAATAATTGGATTTTTAATTGAACACATCAACTTCTGATGTTGTCAAATTTCCATATAGTGTAAGGGTATAGTCAAAATAAAAATAAAAAACACGGTGAAGAAGATCTTAACAAAGAGTCTTTCTTATGTTTACTTACTTATTTTTAGATAAATCGTTTCTTATTATTGTCAAATCAAAAGTAATAAATGTATATAAGTCACCCTTTGATACCTTTAATCTACTCTGATGATTAAAACGAAAAGTCATTGCTCTTAGGACGATGTTTATAAGAAAACTTTACAGTCATATAATACACTATTTCCAATATAAAATTACTAAAATACTCAGTTTGAATCAACACAGAATTGTTCTTTTTTATTTTATTTTATTTATTTTTTTTCAACAAAAAAACACCCGCATGTTGATCAGAAATCTGAATCTCCTTACAATTTTTCATTGTCACAACAGTATATCCTTAGTAATCATAACAAAATGTTGACATATATATGAGGTATCAAGTCAGAATGAGAGTTTCACATTTTGAATATCTTCCAAAGATTTCTATGTCACAAAGACTTATCAAAATGTTTAAAAACTTATGATAACAAATTTTAGAGTCATAGCTTGGTAACATTTCTTTTAAACTGTTAAAAACACTAACATTATCATTTAATTTTATCAATATATACCCCATGTTCACTTTTCTTCTGTGTTGATAATTTTGTGTACGCTAATTGCATCATATTTCACCACACAATTTATGGTCACAGACTAAATGTCAGTATTCTTCACGCCTTTAAACAGAACAGCATCACAATTTATATAATGATAGCAACGTTAATTTTTCGAAATATAGCTTTTACAATACCCTTGTAAATATTATTATATGTCAAAATCTGAATTTCATGTTCACAGTTAACGCCTACGGTAATTTACGTAAAAGATTTAAGTCATCTTCGAGAATATATTCCTTGCTGAATGGGTCTCAATTCTATACTAGACTTTCAGAATGTAAAAAGGACTTTAATTGAATTGAAATGGCATTACCCGTTGACTTTTAATGCAGTACCTAGATGCTTTTATTAGCTACTGTTACATTTTCATTGATTAATTTTCATTCGTCTACATAAGAACAAAACTTGATAGTTGTGTAAAGTTTATCAGCTGGCTTTCTTCAAATTCTTATGCAGATATATAGCTTTCTACAGGGATGAAAATAATGATAAAGATTTATCTTGGTGCAAAGGTGTGCGACATATGCTGCAGGTTTTTGTCCGTTAAAATATGTTAAAGATACAATTAATTAGCCCTTGATATAATTATTTCGTCTCACAAACACAACTGTAAGAGGTAGAAAAGATAACTCTTAAGTGTTCCAATTAAAATAAACTGCGTTTAATATGACATGTCAAGAATATTTTAATAACGAATCAGCCTGTATAAAATGACTTATGAGATTCAGCCTAAATTATACATGTGTAAGACCACTCATCTTTATATATTTATCGATTATATACACTTACAAAAATAATTGCCATTATTTGTTCGCCACGAGGGGGTATAAGTAGGCTTATTCTATTTTAACGATTGGCCAATTAGCGCAATCTCAAATCGCCCAAGGCATTCTTGATTAATTCAGCTAAATTTGACAATGAAAGAAATGAGCATTATCAATTATACACTGTATGCAGATCTTTATTGACAGTTATGATCATGAACAAAATTTCACAAATTGTTTCAGACAGAATTAATAGAGACGTATGATTGTTTTTCCTATAATATTTCTAGTAATAAGCAGATGCTGATACTGATCGATAGGAAATGGTAGTGAATATTTTATTGCGGTTTTGTAACAACTTATATGGTCGTTTTATCAGATAGAATTGGGTCCCCTTTTATCAAATTTAAGTTATTTATATTTCAATAGATACACTCGCATTCTTAACATTTCATTGTATTAAAAATATTATAAGATATAAAAAAACACCCAGGAAATAAATAAGAATTAAAATAAATTTACGTTATGAAAGAACAGTATCAAAGTTCTATTCTTAAACTGGCTATTGAGTCCTATCGGAGAGAAAGATCGGACCTTTTAAGTTCAGGTTTTTTAAAGACTTTCATTCTATTTTATTTTCTATATTAAATGTCCATCTTTCATGCAGGAAACTTCTAGTAACTGACAAAGATTAAATTTTATTTTGTTTTGTTTTTAACAAAGCATCAACCTTTGCTGCACTACTTGAAATTATCGTCCATTTATCGTCTGCCGTTGTTGTTGCTAAAAGGGTATTTTAAGTGTAACACTTCTACAAAAGACTAGACATATGTAGAAGCCTTGTTGTAGAAAAAAAACATTCAAGAACAATCTTACAAATCATCAATTTCAATGACAATTGTTTCGGACGCGCTTCCGGAAAAAAGGCTTTGTATGCCTTTAAAAGTCAAGGCACACGCAATTAAGTAATAACAAGAACTCACAAAGAACCTGATCGATTCATAATATCGGGACCGAATGGGTTACAAATTATCCGGAGAGCATTATCTTCACCTAAATGGTACCAATGTACAAAAGCGTATTGATGAAAGGTTATGTATTAACGTTTCAGTAAATTACTGACGGTATTAGAAAATGAACAAAGTTCTGGAGTGTCGGATTCATTATCGACTACAAAATTGCTACGCACTGGTTGCTTTCAATACATTGATGAAGAGAAAATTACGAGAAACTTGAAAAAAAAATCTGAGTCATTAAGTGCATAAAAATATGACAAAATTCAAGTAGTTTTTCTTGTGGCTGAAGAAGCGTTTTTTTTATTTTTTATGTCAATTTCTACATTAAAAGTTTTCCTATGCTTTTGAATTATAAATTTACATTTCTTTCAAATAAAATAGAGAAAAACGGAAACCCTAAAGAACTCCCAAAACGACAAAATTAAAATGCAGGCTCGGTTTGATTGAGTCTCTTCATGGACGATAGTGGTTATTGCAACATATCGTCCACGCCCCCCCCGCACCGGCTTAAGCAGAATTCAGTTTATAAAAATGTATTGCATGTAAACACAAACACATTTCAACTTTAATTAACTGAAGAAAGCTTAATAACAACTTGTACTAAAAAAATAGAGAAGTATAATTTGCTCAAATATTTTTACTAACGAGACAATATCATAATTAACGCATTCTTAACATTGTAATCACATACACGTAGCAAACCGTTTATCTTCAATATTGCCAGCGATATTTGGCTTCGTTTGTAATTATTTGAGGCTTTTCTTTTTTATTTATTCATCTATTTCTACTGACCTTATAGGATACAATGATGTATGATTCTGTGTCATGGTAATATATTTTTGTTTTTGTTGTTTTGATAGATGAGCGTATAGAGCCACAGTGTATATAAGATGTGACGATATTATTTTCCGACATTGTTGGCTTTACGTCAATTTGTTCTTCGTGTACACCAATGGATGTCATCAATATGTTGAATTCCCTATACACAAATTTTGACAACTGTTGCAGATTCCTGGATGTTTACAAGGTTAACACCATTAGGCATTATTTTGAAAGCCTAAAGCATTTTATACAATTAACTGTATTTTACAATATTTTATTAGATATAAAGGCTTTTGACAGGATATAATATATGGCATAATTTAAACGGTTATTTGTACACATATTGTAAATACGCGTTTATATAGGGTGATATAATCGTTCAGGAATCCTTATAACGAATTTATAATACAGCAAACATCCTTTTATAAAGAAAAAAGATTTGTCTATAAATTGAAAGCAGTCGTGTAGATATATTATAAAATTACGATTATCCAATGAAAAGCGACGTTACAAACGTTCAGTATTATAAAGCAGTTTTAAAGATTAACAATAAGTCCAATCAATCCTTAAGACCTTAAGATGATTTACCAAACTCATTAGAAATCGTTTAATTTTCTTTCATCAAAAGAGATTCATGAATAACCTGTTCTCGAGCAAAATTGTTTGTTGCAAAAAGGATCAAAGTTAATGCGAATACAGTGTTCATAGTTTGTCATTTTGTAAAAAGATAATTAATATAATATTTGGTTTTCATACAGGACATGTAATATTACAATCATTTAGAATAATTTGCTCTTTATTATTTAATGACAAGATAACAATGGAGCCGTAATTGATGAGTTCGAATATTTATATAAAGTACATTCAATAGATAATTTATATTTTATCCTTTAATTAACCACTTGATTATTTTTGTTCAGGTTGAAACTATTGGAGACGCATACTGTGTTGCGGCGGGTCTACATAGACCATCAAAATTCCATGCGATGCAAATTGCATGGATGGCCATTAAGATGATGGAATATGCTAGTCAACAAAAATCTCATGATGGAAAGGTTATTCAGGTACACTTATTTGTGGGGTTTTACGTCGCACCAACACAATATAGGTCATATGGCGACCTTCCAGCTTAATTTGTAGAGGAAAATCGTATGCCCTTTCATGTATTATTTTTGGCACGAACGTGTACAGTACCTGAGCAGAATCACCTACATTTCTTAAGCATAGCGTCCTCACATGAAAACATTCAAAGGCCAGGTCGGGATTCGAATCCACAGCGGTGAGAGGCAAGTGGTTTGCCTGGATAGATTTAACCAAACGATAAGATGATTTAAAAGTTTTTTGTCGATTGAGTATAACTACAACGTCATTGTTGAAACTCATACATATTTGCAGTGGCTTAAGGTTTAAACAGCAAAAAAAGAGATAAAAGAAATAATAATAATAAAAAATAAAAAAAGACAAAAAATAAAAATTAAAGTGTAACACTCGCGTTTCTATTGTCTCTATCAATTTACCTTACTTCCATTCTAATTTTACTATTTCGATATTAATTGTAATTTGATAAATAAATATCAATTGATCAAGCAATATAAAAAGTTTTAAACCTGATGTTATCTGTTTCTTTCTGTATGCTTTATTGCAGATGAGAATTGGTTTGCACACGGGTAATGAATGTACTTGCCGGTGTAGTTGGGGTAACTATGCCTAGGTACTGTTTGTTCGGGAACAATGTCACACTTGCCAATAGGTTCGAATCTGGCAGTGAAGCCACCAAGATCAATGCAAGTCCTACAACAGCAATGTATGATTTTACTATACATTATCATTATTATAGAAGTAGAATGTGGAATAGGTAGAAATGAAGAAACTTTATTTTATGTATTGTTAGTGGTCACGAATTTATAAAGAGTACTTATAACATTTAAAAAGACTTCAACAATCAAATGAATATGTAGCTTTGTTTCCACTTGATAAATCAATATTTCTACCCATTTACTTTGCCTTATTGATTTATTTTGTTCTTAACTATTCTATCTTCTTTTGTAGATTATTACAAGAAGGTTTTAAACTGACACCTAGGTCACGTGATTGTCTACCAAAAGGCTTCCGAACAGACATTGAAGGAACATGTTATTTTGTGGAATCCTATAAGTTCCCTTACACAGAGCTCCAAAATGATCTTATTACTGGCAAACATATAGAACTTGCTGTAAAACATTACAAAATAAATGAGGTCGCCTAGGCGTGAATGTCAGTACATATTGGTTTGTTGATAAATGTGATATCTTTGAAGTTAGTAGGTGTTTGCTATGGTTACATAAATATAGACACATTGAATAAAAGCTGTTTCATAGAATTTATTTAAACTTTGCGTGGTTTAGAATAATATTACATCATCTTCCAATATCACGAAAAGTTTAAATAAAATATGTTATACAGTTTTCATTTCGGCAATGTGTGTGTAAGTTATTACAGAACAATCCTTTAATTGCGTACTATAGCAATACTTCATTATATGCAAGTTTGTTTTACGACAATCAGAATACACTTGTATTAATCTTTGTATTCATCTTTTCAGAATGACTGATGTAAACAGTTGTTAATTTGGTTTACTCGTTAACAATAAATGCACGAGTATTACCATCTTGTATTTACATTTCTTCTTAGAATTTTATATCTCAATTATTATTGTTGTACAAAAGTCTAAATATACAATAATTTATAGTATATGTGTGTGTGTTAATAAGAACCTTAAAGAAAACATTAACCGGTTACTTACTCGACTGTGGTCCCCTTGATGAAATAATAACACATTTATATTTTTATAAGTTCATTATCGTATGAAATACATTTTAAGTATCTCTTATATTCGTATGATATATAAAATAGATATCTGAACAAGTATGCTTTGGGGATTTTAATTTAAAGCAAATATTTAAAGTGAAATTTATATTGATTACTTTTTATATATCGATTACGATTTCATCTTTAAGAAATGTACTATAAAGATTATAAGTAAGATTACGCACAAGTATACAAAACAGAGTATATATGTTATTTAAATCTGCGTAAACCTATATACGTTATATCTAGACCTAAATTAAAATATTTTAGCAATGATTATGAAATCATGAGTTAATATATTAACAGAAAAATAAATAAATATAACTATGTCGGTGCTATTTTATGGACTTCTAATGAATGATACATATTATTCTGAATTATATAAATAATAATGTTTGCACGAATAAAGATTTAAAAAAAAAAGATATACAATTCAATGAAATCTCAATAATTGTTTTCTTTTACAAATACAACATAACTTCACAATATAAAAACATTCTAAGAAATTAAATCAAAAGCCTGATACATCAAGTTGTTTTTCAGAAGTTATCTCTAAGTCTTTTAGATAAATCAATGTAACCTTTTTGTTATTTTTACATTGTTATTTCATTTTTCAATAATACAGCGACCCAAATATCTGATGTTCTCAATTTCAATTTTAGACAGGAAGAAACTCACTTCTGATCATTAAAGAATAATTCCTAAAATGGTATTAGAAAATTGCAATAGCCAATAATCTGCTTAATTTGTGTAATGGATTAGCCCTGCTTTAAATAAGGAACAGTCCATTTAAAGTCAGAGGGATTCCTATATAAAAACTGAGCTACCAACATTGTAGAATCTGTTCAAGTTGCCCTGGCTCTCTACTGATTTGCAAAGGCTAATCGTTGACTGTTTGGTTAGTATAATTTTCTGAATGGACAATTACAATTCGGTAATGAATAAGACATATATTATATATTGTTTCGTGGTCGCAATTGACTTGTTTATATTTACTTTACAAGTTGTGCTTTTTACCATCATTTTTCTATTATATTTATGATTTCAAATTATAAAATATTGATATGGAGTTTACAGAATTCTTTCACGGCATGTAAATATTTTGAAATATATTATTATATGTACTAATGATTGTTACATTCATGATTTGTATCTTATTTATGTATAATTAAATACTTACTTTTCTATTTATATATTAAAATTGTTGAAAACTTTAGGTTTTTGTTGTTAAATGAAAGTATCATTAGAACAGCATCATAGTGTTGCTACAATTAACACATGATTGTGCACTCTTATATAATAATAGTTTTTGCAAATACGGTACATGTATACATAGTATATGCGACATTTGTCCTGCCTAGAAATAATCAATTGGTAAGAACATGGAAATATGTTAGGCATTTTAATTTGATGTTCGTTTTTCTGTTGTTTACTTTCGTTGACTATTTTATCTTTTGGCATTGAAAGGCCGAATAACAAAATTACTCAAATCAGATCAAATCAGTTATCAAGCATCTATGTCACATATTTGCCTTCCTTTTTTCGCAGCCTTATGATTGTCAACGAGCTTGATGAGAGAAATAAGGTCAAGCAAATATTATCCCAAAAGAATGAGTGTTTGGCTCAATGTCTCTATGAGTTATTTGATATTGATAATTCTATCTAAATAATGTATGGAAATAAAAGATTGCTGATTGATCAATGGTTAAAAGTGACATCCTGTTTTGTCCAGAAAAGTATGGCTATTCTTTAGAAATAAAGGGTGTTTCCCATCTAACTTTTTTGTACGATATATGCTTGTCTCAGAAGGATACATAAAACGATAAAAAGAATGCTTTGAGTCTTAAAAATAAGATACAATGCAGAAAGTTAACAGTGTGTTACAATTATGTCAGCTTAAACATATTTTCCTTTAGATGGTTTGATATATTCTTTTATTAATTGATGTATATTTTTATCTTCGACAGAAAATAAGACTGATCTCTATATATGTACTTTGGTCTTCTCTGTTTGCTAGTAAAAATGTGACAGGTAAAGAAAGTAAAAACGTACTACTTGGGTCACGATCATGTTTCTTCATATGACAACAGTACTGGTTCATTTCAGGAAGCGGACTGTAAAGTAATTTACATAAGTTACAAGAACTAGTTTCGCAATCAAGCTTAAATAGATATGTTTAAACCAATGCCGTTTCATGAGAGTTATCAATCAAATTCTTGTTTGCCCAGCCTTGACAAATGACCACATTGTCTAACTTAGAAGAAATTTAGATTTGGGAGTGAGATGATTTCATTATAGAATCGGATCGCAAGCCGTATAAATTCATTACAATAATCCTTTCATCTATGTTTCTCTGTTTAAGAACCAATGATAGCTTTTGGCAGCGATCGTATATTTTTTTTTACACAAATAAGACTTAAATTAGTCATTGTATGTAAGGGAGCTTCCAAGCTGGCTTACGGAAGGTCGATTGTTATGCTCAAGTGTTTGTTTGTCTCAGTTATTAGTCACAAGGAGGGCAGTTGAACTGGAAAGTCGCCATATGACCATTTTTCAGCATCGGTGTAAATCAGAACGCGACAAAAATAATAATTATACTTGTTATCATCTAAAGGAACTTCCTTTTAGTAATATAACTAATAACGTCATGTTCCAATGTTGTCGTCTGCTTATTTCGAGCCAAATCTTCCTATCGACTTATGTATTAACGTCTTTATATCTAGACAATATATATGACAGAGACTATTTCCGATACAAAACAACAGGAAGTGACATCTAAAGGATATATTAAGTAAAAACTAGCCGGGAGATTATTAACAGACGGGAAAAATATAGTCTTGATGCGTGCCTTTCGACATATGACAGTTTAATTTCTAGCATTCGATTCTTGATTAGCTATTGGTTTCCTATTGGTTTCACTCATTAGTCACAATTTTATAATACATATAGACTTTCTATGACGGATTGGTTTGTGTAGTCGTAAACCTGGACACATTCTGAAAACATCCCCTACCTTTATGAATATAAGATATTTTTCAAATTTCTGCATGATATATAACCAAATAAATTGACTAACTAAAATAACCTGAAATAATTGGATTTTAATTGAACACATCTACTTCTGAGATTGTCATATTTCCCTGTAAATAATTATATAGTGTAAAGGTATGGTCAAAATAAAAAAGACGTAAGGAAGAAGGTCTTAACAAAGAGTTTTTTTTAAGTTTACTTACTTACTTATTTTTTTAAATAGATAAATCGTTTCATATAATTGTCAAATCAAAAGTATCAAAGGAAATGGCAGAGGAAATATGTCGGCTAAAAAATACATAAACAATGAGAACACTCTTCGATACCTCTAATCTACCTATCTAAATGACTAAAGTGGAAGATTCGTTTCCTGAAACAAAATGTCATTTGCTTTTTGGGACGATGTTTTAAAGAAGGCTTAACAGTGATATAATGCACCATTTCCAAGATAAAATTACTAAAATATTTAGTTGGAAACAACACAAAATTGTTTTTGTTTTGTTTTTTTTTCAACAGAAAAATAAAAGCTGAAGGTCGCTTTAAGCATGTTGATCAGAAATCTGAATCTCCTTACAATTTTTCATTGTCAAAACAGTATATCCTTAGTAATCATAACAAAATGTTGACATATATATGTAAAGGTATCAAGCCAGAATGAGAGTTTCACATTTTGCATATCTTCCAAAGATTTCTATGTCACAAAGACTTATAAAAATGATTAAAAGCTTGTTATAACAAATTATAGTCATACCTTAGTAATATTTCTTTTAAATTGTTAAGAAACACTAACATAATCATTTATTTTTTTATCAATATACCCCCCATGTTAAAACTTCTTCTCTGTTGATAATTTTGTGTACGCTAATTGCATCATATTTCACCACACATTTTATGGCCACAGACTAAATGTCAGTATTCTTCACGCCTTTAAACAGAACAGCATCATAATTTATATAATGTTAGCAACGTTTATTTTTCGAAACATAGCTTTTACAATACCCTTGTAAATAATATTATGTGTCAAAATCTGAAATTTCATGTTCACAGTTTACGCCTACGGTAATTTACGTAACAGTTCTAAGTTTTAAGTAATTTTCGAGAATATATTCCATGCTGAGTGGGTCTCAACTCTATACTAGACTTTCAGGATGTAAAAAAGACTTTAATTGAATTGAAATGGCATTACCCGTTGACTTTTAATGCCGTATTAAGATGCTTTTAATAGCTACTGTTACATTTTCATTGATAGCAAAAAGTGTGTCTCGTCTACCTAAGGACAAAGTTGGATAGTTGTGTCAAGTTTATCAACTTTATCTTTAAATTTTTTATGTAGATATATAGCTTTCTACGGGGATGAAAATAATGATAAAGATTTATCTTGGTGCAAAGGTGTGCGACATATGCTTTAGAGTTTTGTCCGTGTGCCCTGTTCTGTTTGATGTCGTGCTTGGCTCGTTGTCTGTAGTACTGTGTTGGGGATGCGTTCGTTGAATGCCGCCTTTCCTTGGTGAGCTTTTTTTAACATATTTTTGTTAATACATTATCCTTCAATCAATCTGAATTTTTACACTTTTTTCTTTTGTTTTCATTCATCCAGATCAATTTTTCCCTTTCTTTCCAGATTATAATCTCTATACACGGTTGTACTTCTTTATGTGGGTTTCTCAAAGTCTTAATAATGGCAATTTCTACTATTTTATTTCTTCAAACGTAAAAATAATCGAATGCTTAATCTTTAAAAGACACAATGAATTAGCCCTGAATATAAGTATCTCGTCACTCAACACACAAGTGAAATAAGTAGATAAGCTTAGTGCTTAAGTGTTCTAATTAAAAGTCAATTTGTAACATATAACAAGACAAGAATATTTTTATAACGAATCAATCTGTATAAAATGACTAGTGAGAACAAAGCTTTATTCAGCCTAAATTATATATATGTAAGACCAATAATGTAAATATTTTTAACGATTTCATACACTCCGAAAAAATAATTGCCATTATTTGATCAACACGAGGAGGTATAAGTAGATAGGACACAGAGCGCTTGTGATATTTTTTAACGATTGGCCAATTAACGCAAATCGCCAAAGACCTTCTGGATTATTTCAGCTCTATTTGATAATGAAAAAAATGAGCATTATCAATTATACTACATTATGCAGATCTTTATTGACAGTTATTGTCATGAACAAAATTGCACCGAATTGTTTTAGACAGAAATAATAGAGACATACGATTGTTTTTCCTACAATATTACTAGTTATAAGCAGATGCTGATACTGATCGATAAGAAATGGCCGTGAATATTTTATTGCGCTTTTGTGACTTACATGGTCGTTCTGTAAGATAGGACTGGGTCCCCTTTTATCAAATTTAAGTTATTGATAATTTATATAGTGAAACTAGCAATCCTAACATTTCATATGTCTTGATAATATTTTCTGGTATCAACAAAAACACTTAGGAAATATATAAGAAATCAAAGCTGTTAACGTTATAGAAAAACAGTATCAAAATGAAATTATTCTATTCTTAAACCTGCTATTGAGTCCTAACGGAGAAAAAGATCGTACCTTTTAAGTTCAGGTTTTGGAAAGTCTTTCATTCTATTTTATTTTCTATATTCAATGTCCATATTCTTTTAATGCATGAAACGTCTAGTAACTGACATAGGTTAAATTTTATTTTGTTTTGTTTTTAACAAGGCATCAAAACTTGCTGGCACTACTTGAAATTTTAGTCCATTTATCGCCTGCCGCTCTCGTTGCTTAAATGGTATTTTAAGTGTCACACTTCTACAAAAGACAAGATATATGTACTTGTTGAAGAAAAAAACATTCAAGAACAATCTTACAAATCATCAATTTCAATGGCAATTGTTTCGGACGCGCTTCCGTAGAAATGGCTTTGTATGCCTTTAAAAGTCATAGCACACGCAATTAAGTAATAACAAGAACTCACAAAGAACCTGATCGATTCATAATATCTGGACAGAAAGGGTTACAAATTATCCGGAGAGCATTATCTTCACCTAAATGGTACCAATGTACAAAAGCGTATTGATGAAAGGTTATGTATTAACGTTTCAGTAAATTACTGACGATATTAGAAAATGAACACAGTTCTGGAGTGTCGGATTCATTATCGACTACAAAATTGCTACGCGCTGGTTGCTTTCAATACATTGATGAAGAGAAAATTTCGAGAAACTTGAAAAAAGTCATTAAGTGCATAAAAATATGACAAAATTCAAGTAGTTTTTTCTTTTGGCTGAAAAAAAACGTGTTTTTATTTTTTTATGTCAATTTCTACATTAAACGTTTTCCTATGCTTTTGAATTATAAATTTACATTTTTTTTCAAATAAAATAGAGAAAAACGGAATCCCTAAAGAACTCTCAAAACGACAAAATTAAAAATGTTGCAAGTTCGGCTTGATTGAGTCTCTTCATGGACGATAGTGGTAATTGCAATATACCGTCCATGCCCCCCCCCCAGCACCGGCTTAAGCAGAATTCAGTTTATAAAAATGTATTGCATGCAAACACACACACATTTCAACTTTAATTTATTGAAGAGAGCTTAATAACAACCTGTACTAAAAAATAGAGAAGTATAATTTGCTCAAATATTTTTACTAACGAGACAATATCATAATTAACGCATTCTTAACATAAACATTGTAATCACATACACGTAGCAAACCGTTTATCTTCAATATTGCCAGCGATATTTGGCTTCGTTTGTAATTATTTGAGGCTTTTCCTTTTTATTTATTCATCTATTTCTACTGACCTTAAAGGATACACTGATGTATGATTCTGTGTCATGGTAATATATTATTGTTTTTGTTGTTTTGATAGATGAGCGTATAGAGCCACAGTGTATAGAAGATGTGACGATATTGTTTTCCGACATTGTTGGCTTTACGTCAATCTGTTCTTCATGTACACCAATGGATGTCATCAATATGTTGAATTCCCTTTACACGAATTTTGACAACTGTTGTGGATTCCTGGATGTGTACAAGGTTTACACCATTATGCATTATTTTGAAATTCGAAAGCAGTTAATACAATTTACTGTATTTTACAATAATTAATTAGTTATAAAGATTTTTGACAGGTTATATGGTTCACGCCATTGAATATTACTTTGTAAGCCTAAAGCATTTTATACAATGTACTGTATTTTACAATAATTTATTAGTTATTAAGGCATTTGACAGGTTATATATGGCATAATATTAACGGTAATTTGCATATATATTGTAAATAACCGTTTATAAAGGGTCATATAATCTTTTATGAATCTTTATAACGAATATACATCAAACTTCCCTTTAGAAAGAAAAAAAAAAGAGATTTGTTCATAAATTAAAAGCAGTCGTGTATATAAATTGAAAAAAAATCACGATTATCCAATGAAAAGCAACGTTACAAACGTCAGTATTAAAAAGAATTTTTGATAGATCCGTTAAAGAATTTGTATGGAGAAATAACAATAAGTCCAATCAATCCAGTAAATCCAGCAACCTTAAGAAAGTTTATCAAATTCATTAGAAATCGTTTAATTTTCTTTATCAAAAGAGATTCACGAATAACCTGTTATCGAACAAAATTGTTTGTTGTGAAAAGGATAAAGTTAATGCGAATGCAGTGTTCAAAGCTATTTATTTAGTTAAAAGATAATTAATAAAATATTGGGTTTTCATACAGGATATTTAATAATACAATCATTTAAAATAATTTTCTCCTCATAGTTTTATGACACGAATACAATGGAGAGATTGATGGGCTCGAATATTTATTAAGTACATTCAATAAATAATTTATATGTTCTTCTATAATTTGCCTCACGATTATTTTGTTCAGGTTGAAACTATTGGAGACGCATACTGTGTTGCGGCAGGTCTACATAGACCATCAAAATACCATGCGATGCAAATTGCATGGATGGCCATTAAGATGATGGAATATGCTAGTCAACAAAAATCTCATGATGGAAAGGTTATTCAGGTAAACTGCCTTATTTCATATCATTTCTTTATATTTTTGGTTTTACATCGCACCAACACAGTAGAGGTCAAATGGCGACATTCTAGCTTTACTTGTAGAGGAAGACCTCAGGTGCTTGGCTTTCTGTACATTATTTTAGTCACGAACACGCACCTGAGAATAATCACCTACGTTTCGTAAGCTAGCTTGATAGCTTACTCACATGAAAACATCCAAAGTCCTTGCCGGGATTCGAACCGACAGCAGTCAAAAGCAAGTGGTTTGTCGTGATAATTTTAACCAGACGATAAGTTGAATTCAATTGTCTATAGTTTATTGAGTATAATAATAACATAAGTTTGACACTCATACATATTTTCAGCTGATAAAAGTTACAAAATAAAAAGAAACACTTTCGTCAATTATGGTGTTAGTATATATTTTTGCGATTTTAGATAAAGCGTAACAATGTACCACTGACTTTTATATTGACATTAACAATTAACATTACTTTCGTTCCTATTTTACTACTCCGATATTGATTTTAGTTTAATCAATAAATATAAAATGCTAAAGTAATATAAATGTTTTACACTTGATCTTATCTATTTATTTATGGTAAAATTATAAATGCTTTATTGCAGATGAGAATTGGTTTGCACACGGGTAATGTACTTGCAGGTGTTGTTGGGGTAACTATGCCTAGGTACTGTTTGTTCGGGAACAATGTCACACTTGCCAATAGGTTCGAATCTGGCAGTGAAGCCACCAAAATCAATGCAAGTCCTACAACAGCAAGGTGTGATTTCATAATACATTATCATTAAATAAAAAGTAGAATGAGGAATAAGTTGAGATGAATAAATATGTTTCATTAACTAATTATTAAAATAGTTTCTACAATATCTTACAAACAAGAGTATAAATTTTACAGTAGCTATGTTTCCACTTAATATATCAACATTTCTATCATCTTCTTTTGTTCTTTTGTAGATTATTACAAGAATGTTTCAAACTGACACCTAGGTCACGTGATTGTCTACCAAAAGGCTTCCCAACAGACATTGAAGGAACATGTCATTTTGTGGAATCCTATAAGTTCCCTCACACAGAGCTCCAAAATGATCTTACCACTGGCAAACATATTGAACTTGCTGTGAAAGATTGCAAAATAAATGAGGTCGCCTAGGCGTGAATGTCATTACATATTGGTATGTTGATAAATGTGATATCTCTGAAGTTAGCGGAATAAAAAAGTGTTTGCTATAGTTACATAAATATAGTCACATTGGCTGAATAAAAATGGTATCATCGACTTTACTTAAACTGTGCTTGGTTTTACAATATGATATCATATTCCAAGATCACGCAAAGCTTAAATAAAATCGGTTATATTGCTTTTTCGGCATTGTATATATAAGTTACTACAGAATAATCCTTTAATTGCGTACTATAACAATACTTCATGATATGCAAGTTTGTTTTTCGACAATCAGAATACACTTGTACTTTTTATCTTTGTATTTATCTTGACAATTCTTTAATGATTGATGTTAACAATTGTGAATTTAGTCATTAACAATTAATGCACGCGTATCGCCCACTATCTTATATACACCTTTCTTCTTAGATTTTTATGTCTCACATATTATTGTTGTACAAAAAGTCTAAATATACAATACTCTATATTGATATGATTTTTTATTTGTTTGTTTGGATTTTTATGGCACGTCAACACATACCTGGCCATATCGTGCCGAAGGTTATAATAGGCTTAAATGTTATGTCAAACTTTGTAAATGACAATAAAAATGAGTCAGTTAGATCCTAGAATACAAGTTTATCTCTTCCAAATAATCAATGATGTTTTTGATGGAATTGTATGAAAGAGTTTTTTGAGTGAATTTACACAATAAAATTTAAAACGGGCCTGTGAAAAATCATGACATTCAAGAAGAAAATGCTTGACAGTAAATTCTTCATTACAAGCTACACAGAAAGGGGCTATGTCATTCATGAGGAGATAAGAGTGGGTAATTTTAGTACAGACCATAAAGAGATGAAGTAATATGAAACATTAAGCAGTAATTTTCTCGATTATGGACCCCTCGATGAAATAATAACACTTCTATATTTGTACAAGTTCATTATCGTATGAAATACATTTGAAGAATCTCTTATACTTGTATGATACATAAAATAGATATCTGAACAAGTCTGCTTCGGTGATTTTAATTTAAAGCAAATATTTAAAGTGAAATATATATTGATTACTTTTTATATATTGATTTCGATTTCATCTATAAGAAACATGATAATGTACTATAAAGATTATAAATAAGTTGACGCACACGTATACAAAAAAGAGTATATATGTTATTTAGTTCTGAGTAAACCTGTATACGTTATATCTTAACCTAAACAAAATATTTTAGCAATGATTATGAAATCATGAGTTAATATATCAATAGAAAAATATAAATATAACTATGTCTGTGCTATTTTATGGACTTATAATGAATGATACATATTATTCTGAAATATATAAGTAATAATGTTTGCACGAATCTAGTTTAAAAAATGAATTGTTTTTTTTTAGAAACACAACAAAACTGTACAATATAAAAACATTCTATGAAATTAAAATAAAAGCCTGATACCTAAAGTATTTTTCAAAAATTATCTCTATTTCTGTATTTTGAATACAAGCAGATGAATCAATGTAATCTGGTTGTTATTTTTACATTATTATCTCATTTTTTCAATTACAGCGACCCAAATATCTGTTGTTCTCAATCTCAATGTTAGACAGGAAGAAATTGAACATTCACTTCTGATTATTAAAGAATAATTCCTAATATGATATTAGAAATTGCAATAGCCAATAATCTGCTGAATTTGTGTAATGGATTTGCCCTGCTTCAAATTAGGAACAGTCCATTCAAAGTCAGAGGGATTCCTATATAAAAACTGAGCTACCAACATTGTAGAATCTGTTCAAGTTGCCCTGGCTCTCTACTGATTTGCAAACTTTTAGGCTAACCGTTGACTGTTGGGTTAATCTAATTTTCTGAATAGACAATTAAAATTCGGTTATGAATAAGACAGATATTATATATTGTTTCGTGGTTGCAATTGACTTGTTTATATTACTTTACAAATTGTGCTTTTTTCCATGATTTTCTATCATATTTCTGATTTCAAATTATAAAATATTGATATGGAGTTTACAGAACTCTTTCACGGCATGTACATATTTTGAAATATATTATTTTATGTACTACTTATTGTAATATCCATGATTGTTATCTTATTTATGTATAATTAAATACTTAATTTTCTATTTATATATTAAAATTGTTGAAAACTTTAGGTTTTTGTTGTTAAATGAAAGTATCATTAGAACAGCATTATAGTGTTGCTACAATTAACACATGATTGTGCACTCTTATGAAATAATAGTTTTTGCAAATACGGTACATGTATACATAGTATATGCGACATTTGTCCTGCCTAGAAATAATCAATTGGTAAGAACATGGAAATATGTTAGGCATCGTTTTCTGTTGTTTACTTTCGTTGACTATTTTATACTTTGGCATTGAAAGGACGAATAACACTTAAAAATACTTAAATCAGATCAAATCAGTTATCAAGCATCTATGCAACATATATTAGCCTTCCCTTTTTTCGCAGCCTTAAGATTGTCAACGAGCTTGATGAGAAAAATAAGGTCAAGCAAATATTATCCCAAAAGAATGAGTGCTTGGCTCAATGTCTCTATGGGTTATTTGATATTGATAATTCTATCTAAATAATGTATGGAAATAAAAGATTGCTGATTGATCAATGGTTAAAAGTGACATCCTGTTTTTTGCCCAGAAAAGTATGGCTATTCTTTAGAAATAAAGAGTGTTTCCCATCTAACTTTTTTTGTACGATACATGCTTAAAATTACATAAAACGATAAAAAAAATGCTTTGAGTCTTAAAAATAAGATACAATGCAGAAAGTTAACAGTGTGTTACAATTATGTCAGCTTAAACATATTTTCCTTTAGATGGTTTGATATATTCTTTCATAAATTGATGTATATTTTTATCTTCGACAGAAAATAAGACTGATCTCTTTACATGTACGTTGGTCTTCTCTGTTTGCTAGTAAGAATGTGACAGGTAAAGAAAGTAAAAACGTACTACTTGGGTCACGATCATGCTTCTTCATATGACAACAGTACTGGTTGATTCCAGGAAGCGGACTCTAAAGTAATTTACATAAGTTACAAGAACTTGTTTCGCAATCAACCTTAAATAGATATGTTTAAACCAATGCCGTTTCATGAGAGTTATCAATCAAAGTCTTGTTTGACCAGCCTTGACAAATGACCACATTGTCTAAGAAATTACGATTCGGGAGTGAGATGATTTCATTAAAAGATCGGATCGCAAGCCATATAACTTTATTATTATAATCCTTTAATCAATGTTTCTCTGTCTAAGAACTAATGAAATTTTTTGGCAGCAATCGTATATTCTTTTGACACTAATAAGACTTAAATTAGTCATTGTATGTAAGCGAGCTTCCGAGCTTGCTTACGGAAGGTCGATTACTCTGCTCAAGTGCTTGTTTGTCTCAGTTTATTAGTCACAAGGAGGGCAGTTGAGCTCGAAAGTAGTCGCCATATGACCATTTTTCAGCATCGGTGTAAATCAGAATGTGACAAATATAGTAATAATACTTTTTATCATCAAAAGGAACTTCCTTTTAGTAATACAACTAATTAACGGCATTGTCCAATGTTGGCGTCTGCTTATTTCGAGCCGAATCCTCCTATCGATTTGTAATGTATTAACGTCTTTATATCTGGACAATATAAATGACAATGACTATTTCCGATACAAAACAACAGGAAGTGACATCTAAAGGATATATTTAGTTATAACTAGCCGGGAGATTAGTAACAGACGGGAAAAATATAGTCTTGATGCGTGTCTTTTGGCATCTGACAGTTAATTTCTACAATCTGATTGCACCCTCTTAATTAACTATTGGTTTCACTCATGAGTCACATTAATTATAGTAGATATAGACACTCTAGGAAGGACTGGTTAGTGGAAACATCTAGAAAACACCCCTCACTTTATAAATATTAATATTTAATATTATTCAATTTTCTCTTTATTATTTTTTTGTTGCTTCAATGATTATTAATGATTACACGGAGGAACTTCATGTAGCAATTGAATCTATTTTTAGATATCAATTATCAATTAGTCGAGATAAAATCCCACAGAATTACTGAATTTTTAAAACATTTTGATGCTAAAGAATTCGAGTGGAGATGGTATATATTCACAGATATACATCTATTAAACTCCATGATATATTTAATGAAATTTCAGAAAAATAATATTTTGGTTATTAACGCCATATTGTTCAGATCTAAATTATTATATGATAACAAAATTGGTTGATTTATCATTGAATTATCAAACTCAAATTTAGACCTGAAATAATTGGATTTTTAATTGAACATCTCAACTTCTGAGATTGTCATCTTTCCCTGAATATGCATATAAAGGGTTAAGATATTGGGCAATATAATAAAAAGAAAACGCAGCGAAGAAGGTTTTAACAGGAGGTCTTTTTTAAGTTTACTAACAGAAATAATATAAATAAACATTAGGAAACTTCCCTAGCAAAATGTCTCGTTGCTTTAGCAATGATTTCGCGTAAGTTTCATATTCTGTCACGAAATTTTACAAACGCCACCCTCTCATATCAGTTACCTTTGTTGGATACACACAATAAATGACAAAAAATAGAATTAATGAGCATTCGTATAAGTTTTTTCGGGAAACAATACATTTTAATGTTATTATATTTCTGTAAAATGCGTACATATTTCGAACACTTCCAAACGTTTTCTCATTTAAAATTACGAGGAGTTTGAACTGTTTATCTAAATGTTAATTTGGACATAAATTTAACATACTAAAGGTATATAATTTCGAACAAATGTTTAAAAATAGAACTTTATGAATTTTTTCACAACCTCTTCACTTTTTCCTTTGCACAGATTCCCTGTCTAACCGTATCAAACAGATTAATTTATAGCCGGATATACAAATTAAATCATTTTGGGACTCGAATAACGTGTGAATATTATTCATATTTATTGTCAATTAACGGCTCCTATAGCTTCAATTACATTTATGGTGCATGCATATGTA